ACCTCGTCAAGATTTTCTCTGAGTTGGGTCTCAGTACCTTGGCTTCGAGGTTCTATAAAGTGGAATAAAAGACTTTCACTTTTGGTCTTTTAGTAAGAAAATAAGCTTGTGTTGAGGAGAGGTCCCGACCAACCCTAGTTTTTTTTTTTTTAGTTACGGAAGAGCACTACACAGAAGGGTTAACAACCTTATCCCCTCACAAGATGGGGCCTTAAGCTGAATTTTCTTTTAGCCTTTTTTAGGCTTAGAGGCATCCTAGTACAAGGCAAAGTCAAACTCATCGTTGGTAGACATCTCTATAAAGTCGAGCTAATAGTTAGATAAAAATCATATCAAAATAGAATCTTACCAAGTTATTATAGACTTACCCCAGTATTTTATCTCATTTATTACTTTAGGAGAGGTCAGCTTGTGGGCATCAATAACAAGCTCTTTTTTATAAGTGTACTTCATTATTTTATCCTAATCTGATAAATTCAAAATGAAGAGAGCCATTAGTGCTTCCACAAAAATGTCGGGCGCACTTTTTATTTCTCAAGCCTCAATCTCGGCAGTGACTTTGACCTTAGATTGACTATCTTTATTTATTTTTTATTTTTGAAGACAAAGAAAGAGCAATTTTCAATTCTTTATTGAGCTCAGACAATCGACGAACAGTTTTTTATTAGGCTAAGTTGTCACATAATATCACCTTCTATCACTGGGGAGAGTTTTAATAGAAAAAAATTTTCTAAATAGAGAGAAAGAAAGAAAGATGTTTAGGTATTGACAAAAAATGATAAAAATAACTATGTACCAAATGGAGTAGGAGTGAACTGGGTAATAGTCAAATTGTAAGAATTAAAAATTGAAACAAATAAAAAGTGAAGTGAAAATCTCATACCGACCACGAAAGAATCATAATATACATAAAGCCGATGTGGCTCTAGCTTATCAGTAAGTCGATCTGAAAAGTTTAACATTATTATATTGTACCCTTTTATGAGAAAAAGAAATGTTATTGTCAAAGTGTGGACATGATGAGCTAAACACATGTTAGAATAATCTTCAAGATTTGTGCTGCCCTTCAGTTCACTTCTCATGTCATTGAAGATCATACTGAGGTTACAGGGAGTATATACAGGGACCTCGACCAGTTCGTTCTGCTTTACAAGATTCACTTCCTCCCTATTACTTTCTTCAGCCAAGGTGTTTGCTCCTATTCCTCTTTGGAACCCTCCTCATCGCTAGAATCTTTACCCCTAAAAGACTTTGACTCCTGAACAAAAGTAGTATTCCAAAGTTAAACTGTGACTGAGAGCAACTCAACTTCGAAGGAAAAAAGGCAAGGTGGAGACCTTTCAAGAGAAGAATTAATATAAACAAAAATTAACTGAGGGGAAATAGAAGTGACAATGGAAGCAACAATAAGTGGAAGAGTAGAAATTAAAAAAAATTGATGAGATTGAAGCCTAGAAAGGGAAACAACCGCAGATGAATGAAGGTTAATAATATAAGATGGCCAACTTGAGAGATGGGAAAATGTGGTGGGTTTTGTAGGTCGAAGTCTCTTTGAGCATATAACTCTTTTGTGCTCAAGACTTGTTCTCCTCTTGCTCGAGCATTTTTTTTTTGTTTTGTTGTTGTCCTTCTTCAAAAATTGAGTTGAACCACAAGGCCATTCTTTCATAATTATGGCTCTCGATGAATGGTGGAATCAGATCGTCATCATCCTACCTAAGTTGACCTCCCCTAGGTTTTACCCTGAAACTCATGGCTTTTTTAGAACTTATATTAGAAAACATGGTTAAGAATACATACAAAAAAAAAACAAAGAAAACTTTAAGGCTAGAAGGAAAGCTTTTGAGATTGAAAAATTCAGATTGAACTAAGAGCAAAGAAAACAAAAAGGTGAAAAATGAAAGCCTTAATAGCCCTTTATATAATCGCACCACATATCAGATGAGCAGGACAGACTGCGCCACATGTTAGCTTGAAAAATGGAAGATGTCTTTTCGTTCCCCCTCTTTAAATTTTTTTCGCTTAGACTATCTCTCTTCTCATTTAATGCCATGGATTGGCCAAATTGGATGAATCCTAAGTCAGACCGAACAACTCCATAGGGTAGATTGGACGCTTAGTTTGCCATCGAAGTTCAAAGTAGAGACTTGAATCTAAACTCTTAAAATACAATACCAGTATCATGTCGACTAAATGAACTCCCATGTTAACCTTGGACCATCCTAAACAATTATCACTTTGACAACCTTCAAAATGATTATGCACTCAACCTAAGACACACACGCAAGATCAGACAACCACAAGGTCGGACTAGGGCTCAAACCTAGTTGTCTCCTAATATCGATCTCCTTCTATGACGTCGGCTTTGAAGAATCAAATTTCACATCATTTTCTTTTGCTTACTTGCCTTATATTGAGTGCATCGATCATACATTCAACAGTTTAATACTCAGATTACTTAATATGAAGACAGAGTGTTAGGGGTATTTAATAATCAAAAGGGTATAATAGTTTTTTTTCATATTACAAGCCATTAGCAAGCAACTAGAGATAATTATGTCATTTATGCATATTTGATATGTCAAGTTAGTTTGACACAATCAGTGCTATATCATCTTGGTATTATTCTTATTATCTCCTAATGATCCTTTATTATTTATTTATAAATATAAAGATTCAAATATCATCAAGATAAGTCTAAACTACTCTTATTTTTTTTTATTACTCTTTTTTCAATTTTATCGCTTTTAACTTGTGCGTCAAACTATAAACACAAAATACACCTATACTCTTTACCTCTAATCGTCCGTTCTCTATCTTTCCACATCTCAGCTCGGCACAAGAGCTATATTTCATTAGTAAATATCTGTCATCAAATGCCATCTGTTACAAGTTTAATTGGTTTGAAAAAGATAGACATGACGGGAATGAGAGAACCCATACCAACACATCTTCCAAACACAATTAATAATAATGCCATAAGAAAAGGGAAACAAAAAGGATACCTATACTAATAGTCATCTACTTTACCAAATTCACATGAATATTAGGAAGCTAGAAACGAACCCCTAAGTCCAAACCCTCACTTTAAGTACTGCAACAAATCATTCATCCAAAAATGCAGTCCATGTTAAACCTTCATCCAATTTATGGTCTTCCTCTCTGTGTTTCTGGCGTCACCCAACGTTTCATCCTCTCTGAAGAGTACACTAATTTCAAATTTCTCTCTCTTTTTTTTCTTTCTCTTTTTCCTTTTTGTAATTGTTAAATGTATTTTCTAGTTGCCTGGTGTTTCAAAATAATTGTTCTTTTTGCTTTCTTACCTTGCTTATTTTGTTGAGTAGGATGGCAGATCATGACCGCAGAAGGGAGGCCATGAAAAAGCAAAGATCAAGAGCCATTGAGAGTCTGCATGCAAATCAAGAAATGGGTGTGCAAGAAAACTTTGAAAGAGTGGTAGAAGAGATCATGAAAGCTGAAGTTGATGGAGATGGAGCTATCGTTTTGCAGGATCTCTCCTGCAGTTGCTTGGCTTATACAACAAAAGCTGCATAATTTAGCCAATAAAACTACTATTTCTAGGCATGATTTGCCATTAGAATTTTAGTTTCTAACTAAATATTTATATGGTCTTCAGTTAGATTTGGACTTCCCTTTGGTTCTTCTGTTTGTTTCCCTTATGTGATCTTAAATGAATTTTTATTCAATTCACTAAAAAAAAAGAAAGTTGATCTTTTCTTCTTGTTGTTTTGTGGTTTCGGACTGATTATATAATTAGAAATGTACAAATTGTGTTACCAAATTTTCCTTCTTGCCAAACAAAAATAATTCCTGAAACTAAGGCACGCTTAACAATATATCTGCCACTTTCTTCTCAGCTCACTCTAAGCTTACCATTAAGTTAGAAATATAGAGATGCGTATGCTATATGCTTTTGATCGCATAAATTTGAGGTTCATATTTTCCAAGCAGAGCGCACTAGCGAATTGATTGCTTTAAAAGCTTGTTACCAACTCAAGGGATGAAGACGAACAATATTGTTGGATAAGACGATGGAGGAATAATGCAGAAGAGTTAAGGGCACCTTTCAATGGGCCTGGTGGTTTTGGACCACTTATTTCAGAAAAAAATAAATTAGTAACGGCAAAGAATGAAGTAAAATAAAAATTATTTATTTAGAGATAATAGTAATTCCGAAGATAATCATATAATTTAAAATTTTAACAAAAATTTTATATGAATTTGATAAAAATAAAAGAAAATATTTATTAATATATTAACATAAATTATAATAAGATAATTTTTATATTTTATATTTATTTAACATAAAATAAATAAATACAAATATATTTATATCTACTTAAAAAGGAAGTCTAAAACTAAAAGCTAAATACGCCGAGATTGATAATGATTCCGCAGCGCAAAAGTAGACATAAGCAAAAGTTTTGAACCACTTTTAGAAACCAAGGCACATGTAGACATCGATCTTAATGGATAGAGTATAGGGAAAGTAAAACATTCATCGTCCTTATTTTTATATTATAATTTTTTATAATTTTTTTTATTTAATGAGTATTTTAAATTTAAATTTATTTTTATTTTTATCGATGTTTAATGAATATGAATAATCTTTATATTTGTAATTTTTTTAAAAAATAAAAATAAAAATTATTTTTTTAGTTTTTTTAATTTTAATTTTATATACATAAGTAATTTTTTTATAAATATTTATTAACATATTTTTCAATAAAAATATATTAATTTTAATTAATTTAAAATAATAATTTATATTATTTAATAAAAAAATTAATTTATTAAATATATATAAATATAAATATAAAATATAAATACGAGACATATATTATATTACCGATCTCTATACTTATACCTAATAAAATTTAAAATAATATCTATCTTCATATTTATAATATAATAACTATTTACATTTCCATTAAAGTAAAAAATAAGGTTCTCCTTTAACGGGTAAAATTGGGATCTTTCCTACCTGAAGATTTGATACAAGATAGACCAAAACTAAGGCCCCATGTTATAGCTGTTTGACTATCTCGGCCCAAAGAAAAAGTGGTTGGGGCTGACTTGTTGAGGCTCACGAACATTCTGCATATTGGAGTTGATCGATGGGGAGCTGAAAATGGAGAGAAACAGAATTCTTCAGTTTTCTTGGGTTTTGCTGCTCACTACTAGGTATCTTCAGCTTTAAGCCTTTATCCCTGGCTGCTCCAACATGTTTTGAGGTTGGATTCTCAACACCGTTCTCTCGCTGTCTTTCTTCTCGTATTAATATATATCCAGCGATCAAGGCAGCTGCAAGTTCCCTTAATCAATAGTAATATGATTGCTCTTCATAGAGATTGCTTGAGGAATGTTTACCATAAAGCAAGGTTTGTTATTTCTACGAACCGATTTTGCCATTTTTCTTATTACTCTGTTTTTTCTTTTCATCTGAATCCTCTTATCAACAACTTTAAGCCTAAACAATGCTCTTTCGGGTTTACCCAAATTGACCCATTATCCATAACATCTCGCACTGCAATTTTACACCAATTTTATTTCATTTCTTTCTCTTCTTTTTACTCAACTAGAGCCCCATCTAGATCATTTAGAAGAAGAAACAATAAGAGATTAAAAGCTAATAGGAAACCTGTTCTTGATCAAGCAAAATTTCAGAGGGCCGTTTCACAACTCCCGCCTAGATTCACTGCTGAAGAGCTTTGTAATGTGATAAATCTAGAAGAAGATCCTTTAGTATGCTGGGAGTTATTCAATTGGGCGGCGCAGCAACCTAGGTTTAGGCATCAAGTTTCCACTTATCATATTACCATAAAGAAGCTTGGTGTTGCTAAAATGTATGAAGAAATGGATGTTGTTGTTAACCAAGTGCTTGCACTTCATTCTTTTGGTTCTGAGCCTCTTTATAATACCATCATATACTTTTTTACAGAAGCTAGAAAGTTGACTAGAGCTGTAAATATATTTAAGCATATGAGGAACAACAGAAAAATGGATTGCAGGCCATCTATTAGAACATATAATATTCTTTTCACGGCAATGTTGAGTAGGGGAAGGGATTCTTATATAAACCATATGTACATGGAGACTATTAGGTGTCTGTTCAGGCAAATGGTCAATGATGGGATTGAGCCTGATGTTTTCTCATTGAATTCTATGATAAAAGGATACGTGCTTTCACTTCATGTCAATGATGCTTTACGAGTGTTTCACCAGATGGGTGTGGTTTATAAGTGTCTGCCTAATGCTTATTCCTATGATTATCTTATTTATGGGTTATGTGCCCAAGGTAGAACAAATAATGCTAGGGAGTTATGCGATGAAATGAAGAAAAATGGGTTTATTCCTAGCAGTAAATCATATAACTCCCTTGTGAATGCTTTGGCACTTGCTGGAGAGATAGAGGAAGCAGTACATTTCCTAAGAGAGATGATTGACATGCGGAAGTCTGCTGATTTCATAACATACAGAACAATTTTGGATGAGATTTGCAGAATAGGAAGGGTTGAGGAGGCCATGGGATTGTTAAAAGAGTTGCAAGATAAAGATCTTGTTGATGGACATACTTACAGGAAACTTCTTTATGCAATGCAGAATGACTTCGGAAGTTGAAATTATCAAAGCCAGATCAGGTATAGCTTGCAAGATTTTTCATTTTTATTCAAGAAATCTTCTGTTCTAATATGTGTAAATCATTATTTCTTTGGTATTTATTTCAAAGCCAACCACTAGAATATGCACTGTCAGCCTAAGCTCAGATTTATAAATTTGTAATTTTGAATTGTGTCTGACTTGGAGGTTATCTTGGTCAGAGATATTTTAAGAACACCTGAGTTCAAGTTTTGATGCTGCATTTGAAAACCTTTCCAAATACTTTATTCTCAAATATCTTCAATTGCTATTTTTTCCTTTCTCAACTTCTATGGATTGGCTGAAATAATTTCATCCTAGATGCTATGAAGGAAACATTCGAACATAAAAAGAAAACTTATGTCAAACAAGAAAATTTTCTTCCATGTGCTGAATACATGCTGTGGTAATTGATGATACTTTGAGTTCTGCCATCTGTGGTACTGGAATTTTAAGTGGAAGCCAGAAAGAAAGGTTTTGACAATTTGATATATGAACAAACTTCTTGTTTTTGGCTGAACAATAATTTCAGCAAAGTCAAGCTATCTAATAAGCAATTGAGTACTACAGAGAAATAGATTTCATGAGCTTCATTGGTTATAAATTTCCAGAAGTTTTGCTCTGCCTGCTCGTCAGCTCATGTTCACTTGTGCTTAAAATATTCCTACTCCTATCTGTTGATTATAATAAAGTATAAAATTCCAGATAAAAATAATATTTTACTCTCTTTTAGTTTTCCTTCTATTTCAGTATTTTTCTTTTCATTGGCATGCATCATCATGATGGTATATTTCTATGCTTTTACCAGAAATATTCAATGGCTTGGAGATGGCTAGGGTTGTACCAATTTTTGTCTCGACTAGTTCTGCTTTGCAAAGGTGTGTGTAATCCACTGGAGGGTGCAGGGAAGCAGGTTGCTGGACTGTTGTTGAACTCATGTACACAGCTGCTGAAACAAAGGGAATGGTTCATCTGAATGTATTTTGGCTGTTATTATACATTGCAGTGAGCAGCCGGGAACACGCCGGAGAATGGCCTGCATGTTATGCACCGGATTCAAATTATAATGTTGTTGGATGGCATAATCCTGTTTTTGGAATGAATATATTATCAGTTGTGTCTTGATGGGTAATTGTCATTTACAGCATTGGCTTTGAGAACGGGAGAAGTAATAAGGGTTTGAAAATTGAACCAGAAAAGAGACTGATACTCCTTAGAATACATGAAAATTTTCATCTTTAGATTGTAATTAAGGTTTTATTTACTTTTTAGCTGTATTACTTGCAAATTAGCAAAAATTGTGTTTGAATGCAAGAATGAAAAATGAAAAAAAAAAAAAAATCCCTTTTGGAAGAAGCCCAATTAAGAATTTGACCGGCAAAAATGACCCACATCGGCAACCGTCTATTTGGGCCATTAACCCGCTTATAAACCATTTAAGAACCCATGGCATTGAAGAAGCCTGTATCAACATACCCAGAGAAAATATTTTTATGTTAGAATTTAAAATTTAAAATTGTTAAATGTTATTTTGATTGCAAGAATTAATTTAACTAAGTTTCATGTTTCCATTTTGGTTCTTAACTTAACTCACATATCAAAATATATGTAATAATTAATTAATTAATTATTATGCTAAAGAGTATCACAATAACTAATAAAAAATAATTGAATATAATTTTTTTTGTTTGATGTTAAATAAATTTCATATTTTATTTTTTAAATAATATTTATTTAATTCCAATAAGTTGCATTATTTTAACAATTTCAATTTTTAATAATTAATAGAATTAATGTTACGAATGATTTTTAATTATAATAAAATATTTAATGTGATTTATATTATGAATGATTTTTATATTATTATAAAATATATAATATAATATTTGAATTAAAAATTAATTAATATGACATTTAGAATTATAATTTAAAAATTATTTATAATTTTTTTAAAAAAATTAATTTATTTTAAAAATTTTCTATCGTACTAAAGTCGCTGAAAAATATATTACATTCATAAATTTTTTTAAACTCGTAATCTAACTCCAATAATATATTAAGAATCAATGGACGACTAATCCTAATCAATAAAGTTGTTTTTGAAATTTACAGGAAAATAAAAATAGGAACAAACAAATAAAAAGAATATGCCAGCCACGCCGACAACATTTTCATTATGTGCACATCCGACAAGGAAACTTTAACACAAAACCGTTGGATAGAAAACTACTGAAATCCAACGGCCAGAACAGAAACCCTAAACTCGAACCGAACCTTTGTCTGCCATAAAACATCACTTAAAACCACAACCTTTGTATCCTTTCCTAATTCGCCATCCTCTCTCTCACTCCATTTCCAAGGCGGCACATCTTCTTCGGTTCTTCCCAAAAGGTTCAAATTTCTTCTTCATTATTAGTACTTTTTTTTTCTCTAATTCTCTTTGTAAACTATGGTTTCTGTTTTTTCCTTTTTTAAATTTTTTGGATCTAGTAGTTTCTGAAGCCCAATCTCTATCCAGATATCTTGGTCATGTTTGATTTTAGTTTGGGTCACTCTTTTTTTCAGTTATTATTATGTTATTGGTTATGTTTTAGTAACCTTAGATTTACTATGTTCTTTGGATTTGTTTTCCAGTAATTCAAAATGGGTAAGGAAAAGGTTCACATTAACATTGTGGTCATCGGCCACGTCGATTCCGGTAAGTCAACGACCACCGGCCACTTGATCTACAAGCTTGGTGGTATCGACAAGCGTGTGATCGAGAGGTTCGAGAAGGAAGCTGCTGAGATGAATAAGAGGTCATTCAAGTATGCTTGGGTGCTTGACAAGCTCAAGGCCGAGCGTGAGCGTGGTATTACCATTGATATTGCCTTGTGGAAGTTCGAGACTACCAAATATTACTGCACTGTGATTGATGCTCCTGGACACCGGGACTTTATCAAGAACATGATTACTGGCACCTCACAGGCTGACTGTGCTGTTTTGATCATCGATTCCACCACTGGTGGTTTCGAGGCTGGTATTTCCAAGGATGGTCAGACTCGTGAGCACGCTTTGCTTGCCTTTACCCTTGGTGTCAAGCAAATGATTTGCTGCTGCAACAAGGTCGGGTTGATAGCAACCTTATTGTTACATTTGATTGCTTTGGTTGTACGTTTTACTGATTCTTGTTTGTTTTATGTTTGTAGATGGATGCCACTACCCCTAAATACTCAAAGGCTAGGTATGATGAAATTGTGAAGGAAGTCTCTTCCTACTTGAAGAAGGTGGGTTACAACCCTGAGAAGATTCCATTTGTTCCCATTTCTGGTTTTGAGGGTGATAACATGATTGAGAGGTCTACCAACTTGGACTGGTACAAGGGCCCTACTCTCCTTGAGGCTCTTGATCAGATCAATGAACCCAAGAGGCCTACAGACAAGCCCCTCCGTCTCCCACTTCAGGATGTGTACAAGATTGGTGGTATTGGAACTGTCCCAGTTGGTCGTGTTGAAACCGGTATCTTGAAGCCTGGTATGGTTGTTACCTTTGGTCCCTCTGGTCTGACCACTGAAGTTAAGTCTGTTGAGATGCACCATGAAGCACTTCAAGAGGCTCTTCCTGGTGATAATGTTGGCTTCAATGTTAAGAATGTTGCTGTTAAGGATCTCAAGCGAGGTTACGTTGCTTCTAACTCCAAGGATGATCCTACCAAGGAGGCTGCCAACTTCACTTCTCAGGTCATCATCATGAACCACCCTGGCCAAATTGGAAATGGATATGCCCCAGTCCTTGACTGTCACACCTCGCACATTGCTGTCAAGTTTGCGGAGTTGTTGACCAAGATTGACAGACGATCTGGTAAGGAGCTTGAGAAGGAACCTAAGTTCTTGAAGAATGGTGATGCTGGTTTTGTGAAGATGATTCCCACCAAGCCCATGGTTGTGGAGACCTTCTCTGAGTACCCACCTTTGGGACGTTTTGCTGTGAGGGACATGCGTCAGACTGTTGCCGTTGGTGTTATTAAGAGTGTCGAGAAGAAGGATCCATCTGGTGCCAAGGTCACCAAGTCTGCTGCTAAGAAGGGTGGAAAGTGAACAATGCAACAGCTCTAAGGTTTTGCCGTTTGTGCCGATGGAGTATTCTATCCTGGTTGTTGTTTTAAGAACTTGGGTTTCTGAGTCATTTAAAAGTTTTCTTTGTCGTTATATGTAGTTTATTGCCTTCGAATTTGAGTAGCAATTCTCAGAATTTGGTGCTTGGTAGGAGGTGGCATTCATAACCTGTTTTGTGGAGTATTTAAAGTTTGAGGTGCTTTGGTTTGCCAAGGCATCTAGAAGTTTTGTGTCTAATTTTGCGGAACTATCTTCTATATATTTGATCTGTTTCTGTGCCTATGCTTGAGTATCTTGTTCCATTTTTTGCCTTAATGCTTTGATTTGAACAGGGTTCTTTCAATTCGCATACACGACCCGAAATCTAAGTCAACCGGACTTGAGTTCAATGCCGCCTTAACATGGATTCATTTATTACAAAATCAGTAAGATATTAAAATCCTTCTATCATAAAGCAGGAAAGCAGGAAAGGCTTTGAATGATATATTATAAAAATTCTTTCCTCTTCGGATTTTGGGCCATTTAACACAACCCAAATCTAAAATGTGCATTACACGCAAGGTTAGTCAATTTCATCCGAGACCGATTCGCAGGCAATACTTGAGAACTTGAAGCTTGTAGAAATTTTCGGACTCAATGATTGAATCATGTAAATTAGAAATATTTTTCTTGGATAAAAGAGGAGATGATTTGATCAAATACGTACCGCTCATGATCAATATAATAATCGGGACATTCATTTCAAATGCATATCTCGTTTTAAGTATATTATATGCGTCAATTGCCATTTAGCTAATAAATCTGTGGATGTTGAGAATTCATAAGCAATACTTCCTGATACTGTATTTGAAACACTGGTTAAAATTAGTTATGACATGCAACCGAAACAACTTCTTACTAATGGTAAGAAAAGGGCTTTGAATGTGGGTGCTGTTCTTATTTTACCGGAAGAGTTTTGAGTTAGCCCTACCCAAGACGAAAGAAAAAATAGGGAATTTGTCTTTTCAGAACTACTGCCCCACTAAGAAAAATATAGTTGAATGTGCTTATAAAAATTCATTGAAAGAGGAATCCTGCCACTTCCCTAATTATCTAAAATTATAATACAAAACCAGATCATTAAAAATAATAATAATAGAAAGAAGACTTGTCCTTCAAAAATTTTAATACTGTTTTTTTATCCCTCCAGACAAAAATTAGATTGTTTCACTAAGATTAAGATTATCATATCCATAACACGCAAAACTAATTCAAAATCAGTCAACATTCAGTGTATAAATTCTCACGAATACAGGCCATTGCCATGCCCACAAGATTAGTCCCACATCTAGCTAGGAATATGCAGAAAAAGACGCAAACATCATATTCGTTACACAATCCAGTACAGCCCTGAAGACCCTGTGTAATTTAGGGTGTCTTCAAAATTTAAGCTTCCCATTGTGAAGAGCAACCGCCACCCTGTTTCTTCTCAGAAGTTTCACCTCTACATTGGATGGTTATATATTGATCAACAATCCAAGAACATAATGAATTACGTTAGGTATTAGAAATCAATTTCCCTGAGTAGCATTTACAAAGATTCAACAAGAATGGAGAAATGATTTGAAATTGAGAAGCAGGATATAAAATATACTAGCAAACTCCACTTATTTTAGTCCTTCATGGAATGCTTCACCAGATGCAAGAGGTTTCAATACCATACTTTTGCACCAAAAATAGGAAGCATAAATAAGAGATTCTGTAGTGTGTAGCTTAGGAAGTCATCTATTGTGTCAAACTATTAGGTGCGCCCTTTTTAGATCAAAATTTGGTTTCATACAAGCAGCTTTACACTTAAATTATTCCTTTTTTTTTTCTCTCTCCTCCTTTCCTCATCATTCTTAACCACTAAAAAATATTTCAGGCAAATTTTATGGAACAGCTAAGCATAATGAAGAGACCTTGGTGCTTACCTTCTGGATGATCACAACTCTTTATCACTGCCTAGCTGTGCTTTTTCTGCAGCCTTTTCTGCTTCTTCCAATGCAAATGTTTTTAGCGATTCAACATCCCTAGGCCCTGGTCATTTGCATAACATTCTGGGTGAAAAATATTTCAATAACAAAAATAGTTCCAAAACAGTCTTTTGAAATCTTTATTAACTGAAGCTTATTACCATGCATAGAAGCTAAACACAAATATGCTTTATGGTGAAAGCCAAAACAACTATGATGTGGCATGCAACAAAATCAGATTAATTACAAATAACTAGATTTATCTGCTTGGTGGTGGTTAAGACTCATATGCAGTTCAATGGCTCAAAAAGGAAAAGAAAAATCTAGTACTTTCAAAAATTAAAATTAGGCTTCTTTGAATGCCATGGGTAATCATAAAAATATCCAATACCATGTTAGATAGCCCTTTACAAAGATTATCCAAGCTGAGTGGCCAACAGGCACAAAATGCTCAGCAATTTGCCTACTGCATGCTAGCTCTACAGTGTTGGTAGCTATGAAAGAGAAATGTCCACTTAGCTATGTAAAGAATCTCAATCATAGTTCATATGGATTGGAAACACTTGTAGACTAAGTAGTGAAAAATGTGCTATTTTTATCTGAAACACATTTAAGGATAATTAAACAGGAATGCCCACATTCAGACATTTCAGTACATAATATCCTTTAACAAGATTTTGTGTCATGCATACACGAGATGAGTGAACATGTGTTTTTCCTTTCAAGACTAAACTTGCATAGTAAAACAAAAATCCACTCAAGAAAAATGGAAGAGAATATAGGATGATAATGAGAGAAATACAATCCCTTATTTACTTATTTTCCCCCAACAGAATTTAAACTCAAACCCAAGGCAAAACAGCCCAATTTCCCAACTATATTATTCTGTCATTGAACTGTTGCAACTGTTCTTCCTAAGGCATATAAAGCTTTAAAAGGCTCTCCCATGCAGGTTAACCAGCCTCTTCTTTGTTAAATAGAGTAGCCTTATTATCTGCATCTTATTTACTGATCTCTAAACTTTCTGCATAAGAACTGGTTTCTGTGATTATTTAAGAGAAAAAGGCAGAATTGTCCCTCTCAAGAAGTAATTGAGGCATATTCCAAGACAATGCCAGTGTCTGACACATAGATATGGACATGTGATCCAAAGGAATTGACATATATTATGCTAGATGTGAAGCACAAGGTAAATCTACCTTTTAGAAGTATTTTGGCTACGTAGATAGGCAAAAGATAAAGTAGTTTGATAAGTTAGAGACTACTTCTCTTTGAAAAGTTTTACTCCACTGAGTCCTCTTAGCTTCTGCTATGAGAATAAATTGTACGCTAGTACCATTCATGGCCTATTCTGCTTTGTTTGATAGAGTGTCCAATCCGGATCCCAAAAAGCTTTCCATCCCCTATTGAATTGAAGCAACTAAGTCTAAAGAGCCCTAAATACTTTTTGCAGATAGCAATATCTTTTATTTTTATATGAAAATATTAACCCTTTGCAGCAAAATTATATAGTATATACAACACAAAAAATGTCCCACAAAGAGCATCCAGATTTTGGGGTTGAAATTCACAGTATGGGTAAAAGAGCATATTAAGAACACAGAGGTGAAATAGGGATGTTACCTTGATATTTGGCAACTTCTTCTCCATCATAAAAGAGCTTAAATGTGGGATACGAATGAATATCTACTTTAGTGCATAGAGATTTGCTTATGCCGCAATCAACTTCTCCTATCTCTATTTCATCTTCTCCTTCCATTGTCTTTCCTAAGTCATCCCACAATGTTCCCAAGTTCTTACTAAAAAACGCATTATTATTATAGTCATTAGTAAGCAAATTAAAATAGCAGATAGCTCAATAAATGTAATAAATCAGGCAGAAAATAATTACCAATGTTTACACCAAGGAACACAAAACTTCACAAACCATGCCGTGTCTTTCTCCTTTACCTGAAAACAACAAAAAAAAAATGCAAAATCAAGATAAACATCAAGTAATTTATCATAGGAAGAAAAAAACTCCAAATTCGAATTCAAATACCGTGTTGTTATCCACTCGATTTTATGCAGTTGAAGATTATTCAATATTGGTGTTTCGTTAAAGAAAAACAAAATATTCACAAATAAAGATAAAAAAATATTGAATAGAATATATCTAAGAAATTCTCAAAGGGAAGAAATTAAATTTGAAATAAATTAAAAAAATTACAAATAATCACATTATTATTAAATTTTGACAAAAAAAACACAAAACCCCGATTTTGCTGACTGACATGATTCAACTAAAATAATAAGAAAAACCCTAAAATGTTTTTTTTTTTTTAATTTGTGACATTGATGTGGATAAAGGGAAGGTAAAACATTTTATGGGTTACCTTGTCGGAGAAGGTGTCGGGAGTTAGGGTTATGACTTCGGCTTCTGTCTGAACAGTTATTGAGATCAAGAAAAAAAGTAGAAGGAGAGCAAAGCGACCGTTGATTTTCATGGCTGATAAACGTGTTTCTTCAACGAGCTTGTTTTCTTTCATTGTTTCTTTTCAATTAGAATCGAAAAGCGGTTGGAGATGGAGATGCTAGCTGTTCTTGATTCGCGACTCAGATTGTTTCTTGAACCGGTTTCAGCAAAGCCAAAGACTAAAAGGAAAAGCTATATGGCACGTGCTTTTCACGTGACATTATACTGTTTGCTTTTACTTTTTCGTATTTTCCTTTACATGAGAATATATATATTTTATATTTGAACGTTTATGAATTTGAATTTATTTATTAAAATTAAAAATTAAAAATTTTACTATTAAAAAAAATTACATTTATTGCTTTTTCTAAAATCTTTTTTTTACTTTCTTATTTTTATTAATATCTATCTAAATATATTGTTAAAAATAAAATTCTAAATAAAACTTTAATTTGAATAAAAATAATTACAATTGCAATATAAAAATATTATTAATTTTTAATTATTATCAATTTGCATAAATATTTTATTATGAATTTCTTTTTATTAAAAATTATTTAATATATAATTAACATTTTTATTAATTTAAAATATATATTAATAATATTATTTGATAAAAATAATTTTAATAAATATTAATAATTTATTAAAAATAATTTTGTATTTTTTTATAATTTTATAAATATTAAATAATTTAAAGTTTTTTACTTTATATAAATTTTAATTTAATATCCTTAATGATCATTATTTTTTTCACTACATTTCATATAACTATCGTTATTACTTTTACATCCACACATTTTTTTTCATTTTCACCGCTCCCACAATTGAGTGCTCACTTATAATCGGATAGTAGAGATATCAAGGTTTAGTGAAATTATCTATCAATATCATTGCTACTGTTATTGTTAATTTCATTAAAATCAATTCCTATATTAAATGAAACTTCAATAATATCACTTTAAAGGTGATTTAAAATTTTATTAAACCCAAACTTGTCAATTTAATTTTGAGTTCTAGTTATATACAATTTTATTTTAATTTTGTCTAAGTGAACGGAAAATAAACTTTAAGTAGTTTTTTTTTTTTATAATTGAGGTTGCAAAAACTTGAATCTTGATCACTATAAGCAAAAGTCTAATATTTTACTAATAAATCATATGATTATTGACAATTTGATAGTAATATCATATTAAGTTAAATACAAAAATAATTTATGTATTATATATTTTTTATTAATTTCATTCTTAAAAATATAAAATTTACACATAAATAACTAAACTTTTATTCCGTAGAGTATTTTGATACTCTAAACAAAATTATTAGTTAAATTATTTACATAATATTAATACCTAATAAAATCATGACATATAATATAAATGATCACTCATTGTTATATTATTTATTTATCATGTTAGCATTTTAATAAAAAAATTTTAAAAAATGCTTTTTAATTCAAAATTTTTACAAATATATATATATCTATATATATAAGAAAGGGAAATAATTGGAGAGAGAAGGGGGTAGAGGCGTAAAAGAAAGAAAGAAAGAGCAGAGGAAGATAGAAAGTAGAGGCATTACCGTCGGTCGGCCCAGGCCTAAATCGAGGCTGGTTTGCCTTAGACATGGCCAATTAGCGTTGAGCTCGCTCGTTTGAGTCAAATTGATGCCAATTTGCTAGGTAAGGGGCAAATCAAACCCAATCCGGCCTTGTGCCAATCGATGATGCTGCCTCTTCCCCACCCCACTCTCACCTCTCTCTCCCCCTTTCCCTCATCTCATTGATCTTTTACATTTTTTTTAAATCAAAATTTAATTTAAAATTTTTTTTACTCACGTTGCAATAGCTAGTCTGACGATTATTGAGCATTTTTAATACGTTGATATAATTTTATTGAATATTCAATTATTTAATTAGTAATAGTAAAACAAAATATTAAAATATTTGATGAAATAAAAATTAAAATATGTAAATGTAAATTTTATATTTTTAATATTAAACTGAAATTGACATATCACTGTACTATCATTTTACATATTAATCCTATCATTTTTAAGGTGACTTAGGCTCTATGCGGATTAAATCACAACCACATTACAATGCGATGGAGTATTGTTTTGGAGCAATTGCATTAAGCTGCTTGGATTTCATATCTACGTATCAATTATGCTTATGTAGATCCAGTGAGGTGAAAATTTTTCATTGTTAGGGAAAGTGGTAGTGAGCCACCGCTCTTCATTTCAGACACTTTTGTCCTCACTATTTTTTTTTAATGCAAATTTATTCATATATACAATTTTATTAAGATTAAAATAATTATAAGTGAATTTAAAAATAACATTTTATTTTTACTCATATTATATTTTTTTGTCTATTCATACCCTTAAGTAATTAATTTTTTAATATTTAAATGTTCAATGAAATTAAAATATACATTAAAATAAAATTTTAATTCACTTTTAGATTAATGACACTAAGAGTCATTTTCATTTTATCACTATCGTTCTAAATATATATTTTATTATTGATTTTAATTTTATTATTATTTTATTTAATATGATTATTATAATAATTAATTTTACGATCATTATTATTTTTAATTTCATCACTTATTTAAATGAACATTTAAAATTTTTCCAAGTCCAAAGCTATTAATTTATTGTTGAGTTCCAGTCGTTCAAAGATTATGAGACCTATTATCACTGTTGTTCACAATCACATTAATAATTAGGTTCAGCAAGTTAATTAGGTTAATTTGAATTCGAATTCGAATTCAAAATTTTTTTTTTTGTATTTATTTTTCAGTTGACCTAAATTTTTTGCAAAGCGTGAACACTAAATTTTCTATGGAGTTGGAATCATGCTCGCAAGTTACAAGTCATCATGTTGCAGACTTCTCTCTCTTTTTTATTCGGAGCTCAAATAATTAGTTCATTGGAATTGACATTAAGAATGGTTTATGTGGGATAAAAAATAAATTAATTAAATTGAATATTATATCTATAAGATTAAAATTAATAATAAAATATATATTTAGATATAAAAATAATAATAATAGTGATGTAAAAATAAAAAAATCATTAAATACATCAATCTAAAAGTAAATTTAAAAAATTATTTTAATGCATATTTTAATTTTATTTAATATTTAAAAATATTAAAAATTAATTATATAAGGATACAATTAAACAAAAAAATTAATAATATGAGTAGAAATAAAATATTATTTTTAAATTCACTAAAGGTATTTTAATCTTAATAAATTTTAAGAGAAAGGGTAAAGTTGAATTAAAAACAAATTAGTTATTTTAATCTTAATAAACTTTCAAAGAAGGGGTAAAGTTGAATTAAAAGAAATTAGTGTGGACAAAAGAGTCTAATATGGGGTGGCGTGCGATGAATCTCTAGCAGTGGAGATTACTCCTCCGACTGATGCCATATGTAGGATGAATCGCAAAAGCCCTTCTCCACTAGTAGAGATTACTTAGAACGAATGCAACAACCCTTTTCCTTTGGTAGAGATTACTTAGGATGAATAGTAGAGATTACTCCTCCAATTGATGCCATGTAGAATGAATCGCACCAAAACAAAGTTGTCCAAACGAAAAATCATTGAGATTGAAAAAAAAAAAAGGGTGAGATTCAAAAAAGATAATCCATTGAGCATAACAAGAATAATGCTAGCATCCAAGAGACACTTTATTTTGTTTCATCATTTGATTGCGAGATGTAATTTTTGGTGAATTTTGTTGTCTAGCTTCCTCATTTTCTTCATTTTCGAGGAATGACAACAAGAAAGCAAGTGAGCTAGAAAAAGCTTTATTAGCATGACAGTCGACAGAGTGCAAAAAAGACAAAGAAACTGATTATTCAAGGGGCAAAAAGAAAAACGTGGTGATGATTTGATTCACTGACAGAAAACTCATACAAACGCTGAAGAGAAAGCAAGAAAACAAAAACCAACACCAAAAAACAAGATGCTTCCTAGCCTGCAACCTACATTCCCATCTCTTACCAACTAAACCCAAAACTCCTCCTCAATCGAAACCCAGGATCAGTTCGCTGCCAAAGTTCTTGATCACCTTTGGCACTGTCTCAGACTCTACCCTCTTCTGCTCATCATCATCAGGTGGTGCTGCTGTTGGTGAAGGAAGGATCACAGCGTTATGTTGAGCATCTATAACACGTCTAATCCTCTTGTCGCTCACACCAAATGCAGCCGCAAGCTCAGGGCTGTTCAGAATGTGAAGAAAGGAGTTTGCGCCTACAAGGAACTGAGGCCGGTTCTTGCGTGATGAGGTTGTGAATCCAAAGAACTCCAAAGGGCCTGTTCGTGATGCAATTTGACAGAATGCAAAGTATCTTGGAACCCAAAACACATCGCCTTCTTTTACCTTGGCATCCATGGCTAAGGTTCCATTTGGAGACACAATCTGAATTCTACCAGTTCCTCTTAATACAATGCCATACTCAGTTGCTCTTGGATTCACATGTGGTGCCAACATTGACCCCTGAAATTAAATGAGATCAGTAATGAGTTATTGGCAATTATCCAAAAAATATGACCTTAATTTGCATTTTACCAATTTGTGTTGCTAATAATCTTTCTGGCAGTATTTTTTATACATTTAATGTAACACTTCCATAGATATGATTGCACTATATGTAATGCAGAATTGCAGCAAACCATCTAAGAAATAATAGCAATATATGGACTGATTTGAGAAATTGAGATTGATTACCGCCGTAAGATTGACAAGATAAATGCCAATGCCAGAGTCCTTGAGAGGGCTATATTCGGTTCCATCAAGTGCAATGCTCCATCCATAGTTGTTCTCGAAGTCATGGCTTCTCTTGTAGATGTTGTAAGAGTCTGGGGCTTTATCATTCATATTATTGTCTTCAATTCCAAAAATCGTGTCAAAGAGTTTCCACCATGACCACTCTTTCTTTTGTTCAGGTTCTCCTTGGACCATTCTCTTCAGGTACTTAAGTCTATCGTGCTCCTGAAGTTGAGAGAATTTGGTCCAAATGCTTTGTACATGAGACTTAGTCACATATACAAATGGCCCCTCCTGTTGCTTGCTCAAAATTTCCCTCACTTTCGACACCGAGACCTGTAATCATGTGCATTATTATGCTAGACCAATTCACCAACACAAAGCTCTGCTGGCTATAGATAAAATGTATTTTGCTTACATTGAAGGCTGCTGAGAGAGTTTCAGGGCCAAAGCCAGCAAGGATAGATGTTGGATAGGTTCCTCCACCAATAAAGAAAGACTGCATGCAGATATAAGAATTAGAGAATTTCATATGTTACAGTCTTACAGTGATAAAAGATATAGGAAAATGTGTTTGTGATCATGAATTGGTGTATAAGAAATGTTAACCTGGAGTTGAATAATGAGTATTGTACCTGGAAAGTACCCAAATTCAAACTCTCAGATGGATCAATGCTGCAAATAATGTGAAGCCTCTGGCCCTCCCCTGGGTTCAAAATGTAGAATGTTGAACCAGCTGCAATCTGATACACATCTCCAATCTTCAGTCGCCTCTCTACCATCTGATCTTTGTAGATACAACCTAGCCTGGCTTCCCCTGCATCCATTTCAGTATCCCATGAGCTTCACTTCCACGGTGTGACGAAGCAACTAGTGAGAGTCATCAATGTAACAGAAATACAAATGAAAAAATGACATACCAGCACGGACGAAGAGAATCAAACTGGAGTCAAGATACTGAGGTATGAAGAGGGTGTTAGGCTCCATGGTAATGAACCCAATGTGCAATGGTTTCTCAATAATCCTCCCTCCAAGACTTTTAACCACCCTCATTTCTCCAGCATCGGTTTTCATCACGGGCTTTGAGTCTGGCAACAAGAACCATTCCTCTCCTCCTCCTCCTTCATCCTGCTTCCCTTCCCTCCTTTCTCTTTCTTTCCCCCGTTCTTTCTTTCCTTTGTACCCCATTGTCATTGTCAGTCCATGGCAAAGAACAATTGCCAACAGCAAAAAGCTCACTCCCTTTCCCATTTTTGTTTCTCTAGCAACTGCTTTTGGTTTGAGTTGAGTTGGAGTGGTAGATGTAGAGGGGAAGAAGAGAGCGTAGGGAGACGCGTGTAATCCATGCATGGTTTGCTGGTTTAGGTGGCAGATTATGGTTTAGACACGGTTGAGATCTGGTGAGAAATATTAGTTCCCTACAAGACAAAGTCTTTTGCATCGATCTGTTGCTCTTTCCTTTATTTTTGTTTTTGGTAAGTTTCTTTCATTCCATGTTTCCCTTACGTTGATTTTTCATAAGTCGAATATTTACAATATTCTTTGCGAAGCATGTATTATATATATATATATATATATATTATTTTATGAATACATATTGGAGAAAAAAGGGCCGTACAAATAAAAAGACAATTATTTTAGTACGACCTTGGCCCTCCATTTGTCAAAGGAAATGGGGGCCCTTATTCTTCAAGCCTCTGTCATCTTTTCAGTATTGGGATGAAGCCCAGTTAGAAAACGTGGGCAAATGGTCAATTGTGAATGAGCTGCTCTGATAGGAAGGAGGCTAAAAGCCACTAGCTCAGTGCCAAACTTTACGTGGGGTTGGAGCTCTATCTCAAAACTGAAAAAGGACACAAACCTGGATTGAGATTTGAGAGTCAGAAGTATTAGGATCACAACTTAATATTTGTTTACACATTGGATCATCAATAATTTATCATGGAAGAATTATGAAAAATCTAAATATGTAAAAACGATATGGTCCTAAAAGCAATGAAGTTGCTTTTCTAATGTTTTCTTTTCTTTTTAATTCTTTACTTGATTGGACAAAAAAGGGCGCAACTTTGGGAACAACTTGGAATTTATCACTTCTTTATGTTTGGCCAGTGGACTTTGTTACTTTTCAAACGCCGTAATATTATTGTTTTTCAGAAAAAAAAAGAAAAAGTAGATGCCATGCTTTGAGAGCCTACCATTCTCAATTTTATAGAAGCTCTAACGTTAAGAAAATCCTCAGTTTGCTTTTAAATAAATAAATACGATTGAAAATCCATAAAAGACAGCAAAAACTGAGGCAACCACGCAATTAGGCGAAAGGTTGTTTGTTCCCAATCCCAACGGTCATTTCCGCGGAAAAAACTCATCACTTGGAGAAAATGACTGAGTCCACTCAAAACAGTCCTCCAAAGCCAAGACCCCAAGAAGTAACCATTCCCACCATCCCAATCGAGTACGTGAGTGACGAAGACATGGCTATCATCGAAGCAGCCTATGCAGCAACTCGTTCCTCCCTCTCCTCCTCCATTTCTTCTTCAATTTGTTCAACCAGCTCTCGCTTTCAAACCAATACGAGGTCAATCCAGTCGATTACCCTCCTGTCTAAACGGGGCTTAAATGGTTCCAGTGAGCTGGATATAGAAGATTCCGGCCATTTAAAGAATACCCAGAAGAGAAGTAGAGTGGCTCAGCCATTTTTGCATCGGTTTAGAAGGAAAAGGGGGTTGTCGGTTACTGATATTACTGACACGGTATGGAAATTTTTTACTTTTTGAAGGCTTTTTAGAGTATGGGTTTGGTTTGCTTTCGAAATTTAATTTGTGATTGAATATATATCTTCGTAGGAATGGTGTGAAAAGCAAATGGAATTTACCCTCCGCTTTGGCAAACGAAAAATCAGTAAAGCTATGAAAGCTGGTCGGGCTCGCCATGTGAAACTGGAAGAAGAGGTATTGTTTTAAGCTCCTGAATTTTCAAATTTCCTTTAAATAAGACTGTTTTTTGCATATTGTATGGCTTACTTGACAGGTCTTAGTTAGGTTCTTTATTGTTTATGCATTTACCTTCATATTCTCAAACTTAGGCAAGATTTTCCCTTTAATTTAATAGATGAGTTTGTTTTCCTAATGTTGTATTGTATGCCAAATGTTATGTTCTTCAATTAATCAGGTTAATTTCTTGTCAAATTAAATAACAAAAACCTGGTTGAATGAAATTCTTCCAAGTATGTGACGCTTGCACATGGCACTGAGATTACTTTCAAGCTTAAATCACCTTGCACGTTCCGAAGTTGTTTCTATCATTAATTTCTGTAATCTTCTCTAGAACTTCATTGTCAACTTCTTTTTCTTTAGGTACACTTAATATAATTATCTGACATTTATTGTGTTTATTTGCAGGTTTTTAAAAAATTAAAAGTTCGTGTTCAATCAGTTGAAGATACCTGGGCCTTAAAGTTTATTGATTTCATAACTGGTGCAAATCAATTACTGTTTGAAGGACTAACACGTGAGCTACCGCTGTAAGTTCAACTGTTTATGTTATCTCCAAAATCAAAATCCATCTCTTGCTCCACATGGTTCAGATAACTCTCAGCCACTACATGGCAGTTAGTTGAACAATTTTGTTGTGTATGAAAGAGTAACAGTTTGTGCTTGAGCTCTAGATTATTACATCTTTCATGTAAGGCGTTTATTTGACAAATTGAGTTCAAGAAAGTGGTTTTAAGAACTTCCCATGATTTTGCTTTTAGATCCATATTTCTAGATTGCCATATCTCGATTAGCAGATTTCATTTTTTTTCCCTCTTAAGCATGTGCCATTTGCCAATCTAGATCAAACTTCAGTAAGCAATTTTAATGAAGTTTGGCTATATATATATATATATTATGTTTTAATCACTGTTCTTGCTTTTAAACCTTCAGTATAGTTTTTCTTATCCCAATAATGCCTCTAAATTGGTATGGCGATGAAGCAATGAAAGAGAAGTTTACTACATGCAATTTTTAAAATTGGCATAGAAATGGTGCTGTTGAAATGTTTAGTATGCTTGTGTTTATTAAAGTTTTTGTTGCTAAAAATTTTGGTTAAAATGACGTTTTAAATAATGGTTTGTTAACTTGTTTTAGGTCACTTTTAGTTGTTAATTTGCCCTTCAAGTAATTCTTTCCACTTTGATGTAAATTAGAGCTATTGATTTTCATTGTAATTTCCCTGCTAATGGACTGTGTTGCTTATATAACATCAGAATAGGTTTTGTGGAAGGTGTATGGGTGGTAGGAGTTATTGATGAGGTCCGAATGACTGAAAATGGAAGTGATAGAAACTCAATATTAGTAGACACAAAGACTCGTGCACGACACTCTCTTCCTGCCGAACCACAAAGGAGAAAAGGAAGGTTTGCATATTTTACTGGCTTTTGCTTTAATGCAATTATGATGAAGATTTGGTACATAATGCATCAAAATCTTTCTAATGACTAGCCATTAGCATTTTTATCCAATTTATTATATTGCTTGTACCAAATGTCAAAAGATTTCATGAATCTAACTTATTTTCCATATCAGGCTTCAATTAATGTGCTACAAGTATTTGTGGGACACCTTGGTTGCCGATAGTTTTCCTTCCAGACTGTTTTTTGATTTCTTTTCATTGAACCATAACTCTATATTATCTGAGAACATCAGAGAGAAAGCTGCTAATTCAGGTTTTCCAGCTAAGGTAACTTTGTATATCTTCTTTTTAATTTATTTGTTCCATTCAATCTGCAATATTCAGGGTACTTAGAGCCTGATGTACCATCATTTTTATTCCTAAAAATCTATAAGACTTCTATTCATATCTTTTGGTTCTTTAGTCCTGTTCATTGGTGAGGATGGTTTAATCTGCCGCCCACGAATAAATCTCACGATTTTGTGCGTCATGTTAAGGGGTGAAACATAGAGTTAAGAGTCCCCAAGGTAACTAATATATCTTCATTGCCTCAAGGCTGACACCGGTGGTCACTTTTTCCCTTCAATTGATGTGCAGACACTTAATGACATGATTGGATACTACAGAAATACATATCGCATGCTTCCCCCTGCTCAGGACCAGCTACTATTGAGGTGGGTGAAAAATTGTCCTGTAGACTTTCTGTTAGTATTTTTTTATTAGTTTTGGTAGTTGAATATTTTTGTTCTACCCATACGTGAAGAGAAATTATTACATGATTAGATTTAGGGCATGATAGTTGGAATTAATGGTCTTTTTTTAAAAATTAGAGGAGGCCTTTGATTCAGTTTGGTGAAGCATGACATGTTTTGACGGTTTGCTGATATTGAAATCAAACTTATTTTCAGCCAGTCAGAAACAGCTCAATGATAAAGGTGACATTGTTATTATTTACAGCCTTGTGTGCTCGGATGCTTCTTTAATCTCTGTTCCAGTGACACCCCTATAGCTCTGTTGACATTAACAATACAAAAACTAGGAGAATTTAAGAAGCAATGTTTTATTAAGATGAGAAGCCGTATTAGTCAACTTTTTATGGTGGGAACTGATTTGTATTTATCATTAGAAACACTAGCCGCTTTCAAAGTGGAAAAGCAAAGAAGGAATGATGATATGGATATGCCATTTTAATGAACTTGTTATCTAATTGTATTTTATTATAGAATATACTTTCGCTCCTACTTCATGCATGAGGAACATTTAGATATGGTAATATGCTAGATTTTTCACCAAGCTGCATTACTTGGCTGCTTTGAAGCAGGTATGAACTACAAAAAGATCAGTCAGTGCTCGGTGAAGATCAATTTGCATATGATCCTGACTGGCTCAAAAAACAAATTCGAGGCAGTCTTGAATTTTGGTTAGGTGAGCGAGATGCCAGTTACACCCCTGAGGAAGAGCGTTGGAAATGTCGGCATTGTCAATTCCGTTCAATTTGCCCTGGAAACCCCAATCCTAATAGTCCACGTAGCTCCTCGAGCTCTGATGATAGCAGTCCTTCAAGCTAAAGAAAGAACACTGACCTTCCTCTATGATATTCTCTCAGAGTTCCTTCATAAATGTGATGATATTGTCTTCTGAAAAAGAAGTGCAAGATTTATAGATGCTTTTTTGCAATTTTTATTTTGTCTGCAACCGTTCACTGGATGCATCTATTTGCAAGATTTGCTGTAAAATTTGCTTGGATGCATGTGTTGTAGGCCTTGGTGAATAATTGTTGTAAACTAACTTACTATTATCTATTAATTATTATTATTTTTTAAAAAGTTTAGTTTGAATCCCATAATTTATGGTAATTGATTCGTGCAATTATCTTTTTAAAAATAACATTTAACAGATTTTGTATTTAAACTTTAGCATTTGTAATCTTTTTCCAAAGTGATATTTTTTTCGTAAAAAAAAAAAAAGAATAAAGATTCTCAAAGTGAAGATAATAATTTTCAAATCAAACAAATAATAAAACAATTAAACTAACTATGAAATTAGTTGAATTTTCGTAACAATGTCGTATTAAATTTTGGTACACTCATTCTGCGGGTGAAAGAATAAAAATAAGTGAAAATAAACTAGCAAAATAAGAGAAAATAAAAAGAAGTTAGTAATTATAAAAAGGGGTAATTATTTTTCAATTGCATGCGTGAAAATTAGAAAAAATTCTAAAATTTCGTTTATAAAATTAAGTCAATGATATATACTAACGACGTTGTTACGCGGTTATGACTTGATCAATGCAATTATACTTTTGAATCATCTAGACAATTATGTCATTCATCTTTTAAGGAAATAATTTGTCTATTATCTATTATTTTAGTCAAGTCATCGTTTCTTTATTTCAAAGAGAAGATAATAAAAAGATTAAATATATAAGACAATCATAACTAAAAAATACCATTAGACTTTGAGCTTTCCTCCATTTGAAATTTTTCTCACAGACCTTATCATCTTCATCTCTCTTAATTACTTCTTTATCCATTTTCAAGTAACATATTTACTTAAGCTTCGAAAACGTGCTCTAAAATAATAATTTCAATGCCATTGATTATATTTTTTTATTACAAATCATAATTATTCCTCTTTTTTCTCTCACTTTTTTTTTTAGATAAGACATGCAAAAACATTATCAATGAATGTCATTATTATTATTGTACTACTGATGGTATATGACTTGGAAAACAAGTTTTTTATTACTGCCTCCTCGGCTGGATTAGTTTCACCAGATTTCCTAGTATTGGAAACAAGCTTGCACTTCAAAGTTTGTTGAAATGACCCAAAGACAATATTAAGAGTCTGTCTCTTCATTTTTGAACCATGTTTACGAGGATGTTTGTTAAGACTTATCTTTTAGTAAATGGGTTGTTGGAAAATTTTAAGACCTATTATTTGTGGGTATATATGAACAGTATCGTATATGTGAAAATATGTGAACAGTATAAAATTTCTCAGCCTAGATCCCTCAACCAGAATAAAGTATTTTGGTAAGTGAAAAATAAAATATCTACAAAAATAAAATAATGGACACAAAGAATTACTTGATTTGGCTTAAAAGCCTACGTCCACGGGCCAAGACAATAAAAAAGAATTTCACGGAGATTTACAGAAGACAACAAGAAATAGGACACTCTAGCCAAAACCTCACCGTGAGCACCTTTTATTTTCTGCTCACTCACTCTCTAATTTTCTCTCAAGTTTTCTAGCTTGCTTTTGATTTTTGGGATCCATAAAGCATTGCAATCCTTGACTATTTATGGGCAATGTCGCATTGCTTGGACTTCCTTTCCAGAGGCTTCAGTCTGCTTTTCAACATAACATGCTTTCGGTGCCAGAAGCAAATTTCTTCATTTTCAACGCCATTAGCTGCTTTGTCTATTTTGATTCTTCTTATTTTTTCTTCCAATTTTGCTGCTCCTTCTAAGACTTTATTGGCTTACAAAATTCAAAGGTTTCGGCTTGACTTATCAAGCCACTATCCAACAAATCTCCACCTTAGCTTGATAAGTTCATCAAAGCCAATTCATAACAAATTCTTTTACCAGATCGCCTTACCCACTCCTGCCCTTCAGGGCATTCACTGACTGTGGATGCCATTCAAGTCCCGGCAACTCCTGTTTGAATTTTTTGAATTATCTACTAGATAGTTTGCAGGGATAGGTTTTGTCCTCATATCTACTGGAGTATCTGCTGTACGAATTTTCTCGACAGCAATATTTCCTTGTGATATGACATTGCTAACAAAGTGATATCTGACTTCATGATACATCTGATTTTTAGTCAAATGTATTGCGCTTTGGCTGTCACAATATACTACAGCTGACTTTTGCTGTAAGCCAAGGTCGCCCAACCAAACCTCTCGGCCCTGAAGTTTCTTAAACTGTTATGCTTCTATCCTAGACAGAGCAACTGTGGATTATAGAACAGCTTTCCAATTAATGGCAAAATCGGAAAGAGTGAAAATATATCCCGTCAGATATCTCCTTTTATCCAAATCACCAGCATAATCTGAATCAACATAGCCTTCAACAGTACATTGAGCTTCGCTATCCCTTCCATAAGTAAGACCTATATCTGCAGTACCTTTAAGATATCTAAGGATCCATTTTATTGCCTGCCAATGAGTTTTTCCTAAATGTGCTATAAATCTGTTTACCACACTGACAGCATGTGAAATGTCTGGACAAGTGCAGACCATGGCATACATCAGGCTCCCAACTGCACTAGCATAAGGAATGTGAGACATATATTCCTTTTCCTCCTTATTTTGAGGTGACAACTTTGAGGATAATTAAAAGTGCGTTGCAACTTGCAAGTGGGTTGTTCACAGATATATATTTTTGCATCCCAAAATGCTCAAAGTAATTTCTCGATGACTTCACCCTGCAATGTTTTCTGTAGACATAATGCTCACAGAAATCTAGCTTGCCAGTCTTCTGTCCACAAAGTAAGTCTCGTCTACTTAACTCTGTCAATCGCCTCTCACTCATATGCCCTAGTCGCATATCCCATAGCTGAGTAGTATCATCATCTGAATCTCTCAAGGATGTCACATCAGCACTTCCAGTAACAGTGCTCCCCTGAAGATGATAGAGGCTATTGACAATCTTCCCTTTCATCGCGATATTCATAACCTTTAAAACTCCACCTTCAGCGAAAAACAAATAACCTCGGGTATCAAGAAGACTGATTGAAATGAGATTTTTTCCGTAATTCTGGAACATGCCACATTTGCAATGTGTTGGCATTTTTTTAAGCAGAAACAAATTTCACAACAACATCAATACAAAATAAATCACACACAAAAAGTAATATTTAATGTAATTTAATTCAATTGTCTACATCATGAATGTGAGAGAAAATTCACGATAAATATAAAAATTACAAAAAGTATAAAATATCATAAACAAACACTAATTTTGAGTCTTGAAATAATATTTGTTTTCATGCGTCTATAACTTATGGAATATCTTTTACCTCGTACAATTGATGTTTTTCGAAACAAATTTTTTTTTTACATCTTTACAAACTTATCTCTTATGCAGAGATCTTACAACTTTCTCTTATAATTATAAAAGTTAATACTCACTTTATATTTATAAAACTTCATTATTTGCTCAATAAAAATTCTTATTTACTAAGAATTCTTATCCATTAAAAGTATTTATTCTTAATTACTAAGTAATTCTTTAACTAATAAAACTTTATTAGAATTCAAATTTATTTTCAATTAAACTTTAAATCAATATCTAACAAATCTTCACCTTAATACAAACTCTACTACAATATCGACCTTCAAGAAATCTCGACCACACATGATTGAATCAGTACTGATTCAACCTGATTCAAACAAAATAGTCAATACTCACGTGCATCTAAAACAACTTCACTTGGTTGACTCCATCTTTAGCTAACGCTTTGTTACAGCATCTTCTCTTGCATGTCTTGGATCTCACAAACACAATCTACAACAACAAATTCCTTTCCACAATTGATGTGGGATAACCTCAACATTCTCCCCCTTTCACACATTAGACCATAAGGAAGAGCTTCTATGCCCGGCTCACAAGGAGATGTTGTTAACTTGATTCTGATATTACTTGTTGGGATTTTTTTAAGTAAAAATAAATTCCACAATAAGATCAACACAAAATAAATCACTTGGAAGAGGCAATATTTAATATGGTTTGATTTAATTGCTTACATCATGGACAAGAGAGAAAATTCACTATAAATGTAAAAATTATAAAGAGTACAAAACATTATAAACAAATATTAATTTCAAGCCCTTCAAACAATCCTTGTTTTCAAGCTTTTTAGTGTATATCTTATGAAATATCTTTTATCTTACGTAATCTGTGTTTTTCAAAACAAACTCTTTTTCACATCCTTACAAATCTATTTCTCATATAAAAATTTCATAACCCTCTCTTTCATAATTCTAAAAGTTAATACTCACAATATATCTATAAAATTTATTATTTGATTATCAAAAATTTTTATTTATTAAAAACTCTAACTCATTAAGAATATTTATTTTTAATTATCAAATAATTCTTCAATTTATTTGAAATTTCATTATAATTCAATCTGATTCTCAATTAAAATTTAAGTCATTATCCAACACAACGTTGTAACAATGTCGTCATACATCTTGATCCAGACTGTACCCACGCCAACAACTGAAAGTTCTATTAGGAGACGAAAGTTCCTTGTTGTCTGCCGATAGAACTTTTCCACCATCTATTTTCTTTTAAAGTGAAAAACCATTCTTTATTGGGCCTCATGTGGAATGAACAACCTGAATCTAGAATCCACTAGATTCAGCATCATTAGAATTTTCCTCTTGGCTGACAATGTTTGCCGAATCAGAGGAATCTTAGATTTTCTTTTTCCTTTTATCTTTCCGCGGTGGACAGTTTCTTCTGATGTGGAACTTCGTGACATTCAAAGCATTTCACCTTTTGAGATCTGTATTTTGATCTTGACTTGCCTCTTCTACTCGATCCTTTTTCTGTTGATCTGGCTCTCACGACGAAGCTTTCTGCCTGATTCTTCATGTATTCACCAGTAACTTGCTTTTGCAATTCCTTGGAATTTTAAGCCGCTTTGACATCATCTATGGATATATTGGTTCTATCATACATCATAGCATCTACAAAATGCTCGTATAAGGCCGGTGATTTGCATGGTAATAAGATCGCTTGATCTTCAGCTTCATACGTGACATCAATATTTTCCAGATCAGAGATTATCTTGTTGAAATCATCAAGGAAATATTTTACGGATGCACCTCTTTTCATTTGGAGAGACTATAATCGCTGTTTTATATACAGCTTATTTGTTAGAGATTTCGCCATGTAGAGAGACTCTAATTTCCTCCATAAATCAGCAATTGTATTTTCTTTTGAAATTTCTTGTACTATCTCATTGGATAAGTTCAATATGATTGCTCTTTTTGCACGTTCCAAGAGATCTTCTTTTTGATCGCCTTTTAATTTTGCTGGTAAAGCATCTTTTTGCTTTGAGTAAACCTTGTTGTACCAACAAAGCTCTCATTTTAGTCTTCCACAGGTTAAAATCATTCTTGCCATTGAAATTCTCCGCTTCTTATTTCGTTGAAGATGTTGCGTTTGCCACCATCACGAAAAACTCAAAACAAAAATTTTTTGGTGCTACAGTACCTCTACAGATAGCTACAGTGCTTCTCTAGTTGTTACAGGAAATTTTGGCTTTGTAGAACTTGGCTCTGATACCAGGCGGTCTTCGTAATAGAAGAGACATTTGGCGATAAGCCTGTGCTTGCTTGGAAAGATCATCATAATGTGTCGTTCACGATACATAAAATATTCAGCCAAAACTGTTCAAGTATAGGGAACAATATATTAGAATGTATTTGGATATTTCCTTTCAACTCCACGATATTATATTTGGAAATTTTCAAAACTTGCTACACTTGTATATACATGAATAATACCATATATGTAAATTGTACGTAATACATGAACAATATAATATTCGTTTGCGATACATATGTCATTATCAACATCAAGTATACTTACAATTGGAGATGTTTTAAGACATAAAAGATTAAATGAAGGTGTTGTTGAGTATTCTAAAGTCAGTCATGATGCAAATCCTCTGAACTTTGATTCTGAATCTGCTCGAGCTACCGGCTTTGAAGATCGGCTTGTACATGGCATGCTTGTTGCTTCATTGTTTCCTCGGATTATTTCCCCTCACTTTGCAAGTCGCTTTTACCTCCTCTCAACTTTCTTAATTTTTCGCAAACTCAGTGATTAGTCTGATGCACGTATCAATATTATACTAAATGCAATAATTGACAGTTTTATTGATGATTTTAGTGCATTGGGTGAAGATTGACCAAAATTTTACTGTATTAAATGCGATAATTGACAGCTTTCAATTCCTCACTTCATTATCTGTCTGATAAAATGCCAAGTGAAAAAATAAGCTTTATCAAGATTTTACTTCACTTTAAGGTGAAAAGACACTATGAAAAGGCACATGGATTCTAGATGATAAAGTTAGAATTCTCGCAAAATATGAAAGAAATATCTTGAAGCCCAGACATGGGTTTTACCTACTAAGGCTTATATGCCTTTTAGAAACTGTATTTTTCCTTATTTCATTAAAAAGTCAATATGCAAAAGAAGTTTGTGTAACTTTTTGAGCATTTGGAATTGGAATCATTGAGCCTGGAGCTATATATGTTTCCCAAAGCTTGCACTTCAGGTCGCTAGTTTACATTGGTGATGAAATTGCAAGTGAGATACAAGCTATTAATATAAAAGATAAGAAGAAGATGTACATGTTTGTTACATGCCCTCAAGTAGTTTCAAATTTCGTAGAAGTAAACAAGAAATTGTAGTGTTTGATTTAAGGCTTTTGGCTATTATATGGTTCAGAGCAAACTTCTCAACGAAGTGTTTCAAGAATGGCGAGCTTCTTGTTCTTGATGGTGGCAATTTTACCAACTCTAGTTGTGGAACAAGTGCATTCCCACGATGGTAGAAGCTGATGTAAAGTTGAAACACCGATTTTTATTACAATTTGATTAATGACATTGCACTTGAAGATGCTATGCTTTGCTTATTTGCTGTTTGCCAGAGTCAAGGAAGTGATTTAGCCCGGAGGACACTAACAACTGAAGGGTAGTCTGTCCAGCTGTTGAGGGTGGCTTATGAGACTATGCATACCCATGGCTGAAGCTGGTTCACTAGTTTCTAGGTTTTAGGTCTTTTTTCACACTCCAATAAAATCCATTGTTAGCTTGCGGAAAAGTAGCTATGCTCTCCTGTCCTAAAGGCTCGAACAAGAAAATTGAATAAAGTGATCCTTCTAATGCATTGGTAAAAAAATCCTCAAGGAAGAGCACATTGACTTGTACTATGATTTTGGCTGCTTCAGATTGAATTGGAGACATTTGAATAGCTTAAAAGGAAAAATAATTTAAACATTGGATTTCAAACCCTTTCATCTCAAGGAAAGATGATAACCTTTACATCAACTCCATGCTTGATTTGAGTTTATGTGGACTTTGTTTCGCTGAAATCTTGACCATTTCAGCGAAACAATTTTCTTGCCTTTCTTTGGTTGAATAATCGCCAACAGATAACAATTCAAGGATTTGTCTAAGCCTTCAGTGACTGCAGCAAGTAAAATTTTACTTTAACAATAACACCCACATTGTGTCAATAGAAACAGTAAAGTTGGGTTAGATTCTTGAATTGGCATTTTCGTAGCAGCATTTTGATTGTATTTTATGGGTCGATATGGCCTCATTGTAACCATGAATTTTATGATTTTCGGTTGATTAGTACAATTTTTATGAGTGATGAATTTAACATATTTCTTCTGTTTCCACTCATGTTATGTACACCAGTATTTCATAGAAGCCAAAATTCCTTTGACAAAAATGTGCCACTGCACCAGGCATACGCCCTTTATTATGTATCCGCAAAATCCCATGAGATGGGAACGTGCACTCAGCAACTCGATCTAATTCCAACCCCTTTCATAAGCAACTTTCATAGGCTAATGAAGAAAAGGTTATACAGAGTTTTCAGTAAAATTCTAGAGTGCCTGATATGGTGATGGGTGGATTGATTTCAACAAGAGTTGCCTTCCCTTCCGAAAGCAATTGTGGTAATGTGTTGGCCTCCTTGGGCGCCATTCCTTCCCCAGTCCATATGGTAACATGAGGCCACTCATTTTTCGAGACTATCTTTTCGTCATCAATGGAACCAAGTTGGGCTTCTAGTGCTGCCATTTTATCAGTGAAAAGAAGAGCAGTCAGTTCCACAGGAACCTGACGATGGAGGTAGAGGCCATAACTAGCCACAGCTGTGACACCATGACTTCTCTTGTGAGCAAGAGTCACATGAGCCTTCCTGAGGATGTTCTCCATATGTTTGTCCTTGAGGAAAGCTTTGATGTTGTCGTTCTTCCCAGACATCTGTTCCATTCAAGGGAATTATGTTACTCGAAATTTCTGTTGACAAAACTCAGAAAAGTTGAGGACAAAATTTTTTTGCTCACTTTGTCAAGGAGACTCTGGATTTCTGCAACAGGCAAATTGACAGCAGCAAAGACAATGGTTCCAAGTTTCTTCTTCTCAGTACTTGGTACCGTGTACTCACCCCTCACTATCTTTCTCAGTTGTTCCACCACCTGCTGAACTGCAAACTCAAATGGAACCTGACAAAAGACCCAAAAAAATTAAAAGCGTGTTTTGACTTTGGATTAAATAGTTCCCCCACAATCCTTAGTAATAAGAATCTGAAAGTTGGGGTAGGGACCAAACACCATAAGTGCCATTAAAATGTTAGCAGTAGATGATCATGATAATGATGTTGACCTGAACAGAATTAAGATACTCAGCGTTGGCAGATAAAGTGTCCCTTAATTTCTGCTCCCATTTAGCCCACTCCTGTGCATACGTACCTTTGGTTGATTCCAATCTAAGGGAAACAACAAAAAACAAGTAATGGCAATAGTGCCACCAAAACGGAAGCCTATAATAGAAATGGATAAAACTAGGAACAACTATGAGACCACTTAGGGGGAAACACAATTTTCAATACCTACATTTGTCTCTTTGATCCACTAATTTTGTTTACTTTATTGGTAAAAAATCATGACTATTTTGTGCGAATGTATGCAGTTGTTTAAACTTTTTTACCAACCTTCCATGTCTGTTAGTGTGAAGATTGTATAGATTTATTCCCTCTTCCAGAACTGATCTCAAGGAAAGAGGTAAAGGACTCCTGCAGTTGGAAGAAGTACACAAAACATTAGTCCAACAAAAAAGGGAGAAATAAATGCCATTCAGTTTCATTTCTTCATAAGAAAGAATTTTCATCATGTGAAGGGAGGGATGACAATAAAACACTACAAAGTCAATGTCTAGAGGATAGTACAATCATACAATTCAAAGTTAGATGGATGATGGAGATCATTCATACAATAGGTCAGTCTCAGGTAAAATGGAATGTGATTGCAATCTCATCACCAATCCTCAAGTGTCCGTTTCACTTTCTTTGGATCTTAATCTTTAAGACCACATTTTTTTTTTCTTTTCCCTTTTTATTGTTAAAGGGGCCTGTTGATACCACTTTTACTTTTCTCTTTTCCAGTTCTCTTTACATCTTTTTTTTTTTTAAAGAAATTACTCTTGGTTTCTCTTAAACTTTATACAGATGTCCTTGTTCTTCATTTTCACATTGTTTCTGTTCTCCCTCATCTTTTTTATGGTTCCTTCGTCTAACAAATAAAATATATAAAATTATTAAAATAGCTAACTAATTTAGGGGCCAATGTTCTCACCTGTCAGGTTTCAGCAATGGCATCTTAACAAGAGAGCTAAAACGTTCTACCAATTCATCCTCAAAGTATTTGCGACTCTAAATATTTGAGTAGGTGTTAGAATGCTTTAAGTAAAAGAGAACTTGGACCACACTTGGTATAGATTAAAGTACCTTTCCCTCATAAAGGTGATAAAACATTAGCAGCACATAGCCAGCATTTGGAGATGCCTTGTCAAGATTACCCTAGAATTTAAAGAATTGAGGAAGTGTTAGCTAGATGGTAACAATTGTTAGTGTGATGTTTCACAGAACTACTATAATTAAAAGAAAGGCAATTGAGTACCGGATGATTAACTCGTTGAAGCACACGAAACATGAATACAGCTAATGCATCCAGAGAAAATGGATTTGAGTCGGTCCCTGCAAGTTGGAGAAATTTAACTGGGGCTGAGAGAAAAGATGAATAAACCCATGTTGCTTAGACTCCTAACTTTCCTAACATATGAGTAAATGCAGTACCATCTTGCTATAAGTGTGCGATACATAACTGACACCCTTACAAATCATCAATCATGCAATAGACACCATATGAACAGTGAATGTTGGTTTAATTTTGGCTTTTCTTCATTTCCGTAACTTGGATTTCTTAAAACTTGGTTTATTTTTTCTACTTTAGCTTAAGCTTGATGCCAGAAGAGATCATTGCATAAAAGAGAAAGAGATATCTTTCAAGCTTACAAAGGGGGTTTATGTAGGCAGGTTCAGAATAGTGAAACATTGTGGCACACTTGAATTTCAGAGATTGGGTTGGCGACACTCAATTGAATTTCTATCGTTCTACTTAGCATTTTTTTTTTTTTTTTGCTTCAGACCAAATAAAATCCAATTAAGCCTTCCATAACTGAAAATCCAAGGAGTCTCCATCCTCATGCATCATCTTCAACAAAGTGGATTTATTATCACAATTGAGTAACTCAAATACTTACAATTAAAGAAATACACCAAACTTTATTAAGTCTATGAGTCTCCACACCTATATCCTTTATTTTACCCTTTTATACTAATATCCTCATGTCAGATCTAAGGTAATTCAAGAGAAAAGTTTTGCATCGGTAACAATGCATTAAGCAACAGAGGTTAACCCAACCTGAATAGCCCACCTTAACTTACTCAAAACCCACCTTGTCTCGACTAAAGTTGCCTCAAAATTCAACATGATCCAAAGTTCGAACCAGAAATAATTTGGTTATTTTCCTTTCAGAAAGAATGCATGACACATAATAAAAAATGATAAAATAATAATAAATAACCATCTTTGCTATATAACCGGTTAATATAACATCAAAACAAGTAGATTGAAAAGCTTTAAATATTACCAACAAAATTTTGATTTTTATTCTTTCAAGTATAGCAAATAAGAAGTTGAAATCTTATTATGCAAAACTCTTTGAAATATTGGCACCCTAAATAATCATGTTTAGAACTAAAACTAAGGCTGAGACTTAATATGACTTTTACTTTTTTGAAAGAAATCCAATATATAAATAAAAACCACGAACTTAGATGCCAATGCTAACATGAAAGACAATAAATGGTTTTACAATTTTTTTATAACTAATCCAAATAGTTTTTTTTTTTGGCCAATAACTAATCCAAATAATTTTAATGAATATAATAATCTTCTAAAACTTTCATTTACTAGTCCTACATAAATATTTTTGTCTACTTAATTTTATAAACCATATAATTTAGGCATAGGCATAACAATATGTTATTATAAATCAAAATAAGGATATTAAGTCAAACTCATGTATACATTTTTCTTTTGGGAAGGGGAATCAAACCAAATGTAACATAAAACATGCCTTAAGCCGAAAACAATGAACCTTCAAGTAACAAAAATGATCCAAATCTAAATATTTTGAGACCTAAAACTGACTGTGAAACTATCTTCTTTTTTTTTTTGGGGGGGGGGGGGGCAGGGAAACTATCTAATATGCCTAAATTACCCAAGACCCAACCAACTCAAAACAACTTGAAAATTGAAATGACCAATTCCAATCCACTTGATTGCCACTTGCCCAACAAAAGAAACAGACTAGTTTATCTGTATACCACTTCATATTGAAAGATGGATTTGAAATAGCAAGGATAAATTTCAGACAATCACATGCACACAAAATATATCAGACTAGCAAACAAAATATGAAATGCGCCCATTTGAAATAGCAGCGATAAATTTAAGACAATCACATGCACACAAAATATATCAGACTGGCGAACAAAATATAAAATGCTCCCAAAGCATACTTTTAGAAATTTGTAACTATTTACAACACTGTAAAGCCAAAAAATTTAACTTTCTATTGGCATAAGATATAACCTTCAGAATCAGGTATGACTGGAACAGCTGAAGCTTTGGTGCTATGGCACATGTTTTCAATCTGCACATAAATCAAATGAATTTTCATAAATTGCCAAAAAACTAACACTTCAAAAATTATAGCATAATCACAAAACAAATATCCCATAAACTTTCACTTTTGAAAAGCCAACATCACACATCTTACATTCCCGTTCTATTTGGGTAGTGATACAATAATAGATAATAAGAAATTTGCTTACTACCTCCACAATCAAGCATATGAACCACAAAGACCTAAAAAATTTGGAGATCTCTCCAACTCTTTTTGCTACTGATACGGTACTTCCGAACTATAGATGCAATTTTTCATTCCAACACTATCTGAAGAACTAGCTTAATGTTTTGTCAGATCTAAAACCAAGTATAAAATTCCTATGAAGGAGTTTACAATAGAACCATAAACACTCATGCAGTCCATCAGGTTTTGAGAATCTAAACACTTTACTCCATTTTTTTCCTTGTTTCACTACTAGAGGAGGTTTCAGATATTAACTTCTAGTTGGACAGAGATCAAATCAATTTGACTGTAGGTCACTTAAGAGTCTATCATGCTGTTCCAAAATTCACCCTTCTTATATTAGTCTGGTAGCGGGAAAGAGAGAAAAAATCAACCATTAATGATTGAACTGGCTTACTTTACATTCAAAGCCATTCCTATCATATGCATGAGTTCCTATTCCGCTTATCCCTATGTAAATCTACCATCTAACACTACAAATAAATAATCCCATCTAAAATATTTTGAATGAGTTTTTTTTTTTTTTTTTTTTTTTTCTTGAAAGGCATAAGCTTGACACTTTTTCGCAGATACCATCCACAAGATATCCATTTATGACTAGTATTTCCTTTATCAAATAAATGACATATCACTATCTAATCACTTTTCCATATGAACAGAATGGGAGGGGGAGAGAGCTAATCTTTCAAACTATATATGTTAACTACCTAACTTCATCCATAAAAGCTCTGTAACCATTAATAGAAGAATCAAGATATAGCATCATTTGCATATAGGGTAGCAATATTCAGTAAAAGTAGCCTCTTTAGTATTTTTGTAGTTCAGCTTTCAAAAGTTGAGTATAAAGTAATAATACAGCCATTGTCAGTCCAAATCCTCTTCGCAATTTATCTTTTGTTAACTTAATTGAAGCAGTGCACCATACGAACGTCAAACAATGAGAGAATTACCTGTTTCCAAACTTCTTCATTTGGTGCATTCTTATCTGCAAGAATTATAGAATATGGTTTTCTCCTGCGCTCATCAGCAACTTTTGGCCAATATCTTCCTGTTAATAACACAATATAAATACGTATAACCTCAATTACATCAAATAATTCTTAACAAACCACTAAAACATTATCTAATCCTTTAACTTCGATGCTCAATCCTGTTGCTGATAATTGTATTGTTTAACATAAAAAATAACTATCAAATTAGTCAAGTCCCAAAAGATGTGCCAATTTAACTTGTGAGAATCAGCAAAAGCAGAAAATAATTTTTTTTTTCAAGCAGATTTTTCTCAAAAACTGATGCATCTGATATATCACATGCACATACAAAAACGTTAAGAAATACCAGCTTTGACAACTTTTATACCAGTCATAATTACATTTGTCATTCTATGCAATCATTGATAAACACAAATGGAATAGATAATGTTAACCAATTGATTTCAAACTGGCATTCATGATCCAAATAGATAGACTAGTAGATTCAAAAGTCTCATTGGCAGAACATGATCAGACAAAAAGTTATGGAATGCTCATTGCACCATGTTATACGATTAACTTTCGATAGATTTTGATGAATATATATAAACTTATTCCACACATAAACCACACATGTGAAAAGCATTCCTAATGTTGGTCCAACTAAAGTAAGTACTATGAGCCATAATCCAGATGTACAATGAAACTGTATTTCTTTGATGTAACTAAATGTATTTCATTCACTTGATACATTTTTTTTAGATTTCACTGGAATTTATCAACTATGTGACCAAAAATTATTCCTAAGATTTAGAAAACATTTTGCAACAACATTTTGACAGACTTTATCATACAAATTGCGAACTATTTTATCCAATAATTGATATACTGATCCCAACCAATCATTAACATTCAACAGTTAATGCTGTCAACACTCCAGCATACAAATGGGATGTGAAACCATTTCTACCTTGTATGTCAGAGAAATATCAAAAAGAGGAAGGGCTTACATAGAAATATGCAGAAAACAATTCAGCATATATAAGCCATTAGTTACAATCAAGAGACATTTCAAGTAAGAAAATCACTTTTACAACGAAGTTTTAAAACCACCAAATGTAACACATTCAGAAAGCATAAAGTCAATTTCACATTTATCATATACCTTTGACAAGGTCACCCATCAAACTATCAACTTGTCGACCATCTCCAAGCCCTCCTGGGGTATTTAATAGTTCTCTGCAAAGTGCAGACTTCGCACAACCAGGTATTCCTGAAAATGGCAATTATATTGAGTCACTGCATAATAATTAAGATGAACATTACACTAAATGTAAATAGTGAAAAGAACAATAAAATATCAAATCTTGAATCATACATGAGAAAATGCAATATTACTTTATTTTCATTGTGGTTTTAGAGAAAATTCAGAAGTTCAGATAAAATTTAATTTTTCCTCCTCTATTGCAACCCAAATCATGCTATTTAATACATGAACTAAACCATCCACATATTTATCCACCTATTACCTACCAATAACTACTCAACCTATGTACTTATGATCAAGGAAACTCCTTTTAAAAAATAGTGTATATTTATTTAAAGAGATTTATAGTTATGGTTAAAACGTAAGTAGGAAACTGGTGAGGACAGTTTTTATACATTTGTATCATGCATTATCAAATTGTTTTGCAATTTTCAAGATCATAATTTTTAAAGTTCTTAAGTAATGGAAAAAATACTCAACCTATTGTAACTTTACATCATAAATGCAAGAAAACATATAATGAATGTTCTACAATTTGAACTTGAATTCCAATAACAAAGGGATGAAAGTTAGTATGCTATAAGTTTTCTTCTTAATATGTCATTTTGAATAAACAATTAAAATAGTTATTGATCACACATGATGCGTATATAAGAGCAGCAAAATAATAAATTTTACAAAAAATTTGCTTTTAGTTAACGAAGGACTCAAAAGGTTCAAAAGACAATCTTAGTGTTTTTAAATTCCTGTGCATTGAATAACCCACTAAGTACTTCCAAAACTGCCCTTTTAGGCTGCTGTTCAGGAATTCCAGGAGCCTAGGATCTATTCTCAGAAACCCTCTTGCCTTCAACATTCAAAGACCCTAACTTTTAGCAACAAAAGGAGAATATATCATAAAACTCAGATCTTAAGCCACCAAATAATATTTCAGTGATCATAAATGTGAGTTAATTGCACAAATAAACAGTAAAAATATTATCAACAAGAAAAAAAGTGGGGCTTCAGCCAATTGGAAACTCAATGTTACCTGGGAAAAATACAATCAAACCCTCATCTTTCCGAATAGTGTCCTTGACTGATGGGCTAATACTTGCTGCTGCTGCCTCCCGTTCCAAAGAGAGATCACCCTCTTCGTCCCTACCTCCTTCAACAACTGCCAAGAAATCTTCAGTCCTTACCAAGTTCCCAGCACATCCTATTAGAGCCTGATTCTCTGGACTACGTTTTGCATACTGTTCAAGAAATGGCTCAGCTTCAGAAAGGTATATTGCTGATGATAATTGTTTGTTCCCACATTTCCTTCTAATGTACACAGCCCTGGAATTAAGGCATTAAAAAATAAATAAAAACGTAAGGGAAGAACTAGATAATGAAATCATATCCAAGCATACAAAATTATAATTTCAACACTACCATTCATCAAGCATCTTGCTGAGTTCTATCTGCTTTCCTGCTGAAGTGCCCCAAATCTTCATTTGCCTAAATACCAGAAAGGAACAAAATTTCCCGTAAATGGGCTTAAGTTGAAGTCTATTATACAAATTTTATTGATTTATTTAAGGAATCGAAAATAAAAACATCATGAGAGTACAAACTTTATGGATTATTATATCTCACCATAAAGTAAAGAACATTTGATAACGTGTAAGATATTAGAGAGGATGGAGAAAAGTTAGTACTTAATGTGAGGAAGAGAGAGAGATATCTTGATATCTGACCATGATTACAATCTCAAACCAAGAACCAAAGCCTCCTATATATGATTACACAACTCCGCCCATTTTTTTTATCTTTATTATAATTCACTAAATAGTAGAGTATCACACTACAGAACCTTCCTTACAAACCTTACCTCAGGTAGTAAGCCTTGTAAGCAGCTGGACCATCCTTGAAAAGAATTGACAACCCATTGCGGATCAGAAATGTTCTCAACTGGTGGGAGGAAAAGGGCAATGCATGATGAGAATCAGACTCTAAAGAATATCACATTAAAATTACTAATTTGGTGAACTGTACAATTATAAACAAATAAGAAATGAAACTTTCTTGAAATGAATGTTCATCCTCTGGGAATTTGTCTCTCAAATAAATAATGGCCAATAATGCTCATTTAAAAAAAAGAGTGTATACTACAGCAGAACACACCTTGTTCTCATAACTATCACATAAAATTACCATTTTGCAGGAAAAAAAATAACAGAATTATAACCAAGGGGAATACCTCCTCAATTTAATGCTCAAAATGCTAAAAGGTCATGTAGGAAATATAATGATCAAATGCCAAGTGTCTATTGATCAATGCATTAGAACTCTCTTAGCCTTGCATTTAATACAACAATCTTCAAACTGTAATTCTAAGCAAGGAAAACACCACTTTCTATCAACATTACTAAGATGAAGATAGCCAAATCATAAAACCCTATCTCATATAATAATTAAATATAAGTTCCTCCATCACATCAAGAGATTTATAAAAGTATACCTTATATGTAAGGAACTTCAATTTAATCATTAGATTTGCATCATCATCTGCTAAACCATCTCTTGTGGATATGCCATTGCCATTATTTATAAGTCCTACTAGATCATTGTTGCATTTTGCAATTTCAGCAGCTCTTTCCTTGTTTGCCTTGAACAAATTAATATCAAGAAAAAAACCTGAGTAAAAGACAGAGCATGAGAATAACTTTTTGCAACTCAGGGAAGTATGTTTCTTCAATGCTTTTAAGAAGAAAAAAAAAAAATGGAATATCAACGCACAGGAAAAAGATTTAACATTATCATAAAGGTCAATTTAGTCATTTGGTACCACACCGTTCTTAGCCCTCATTGTAGATAGTTCCAATGGATTTCCATCTCTTTCCCAAAATGCAAACAGTCATTTTTCACAATTTTGTTTTAGGCTTTTCCCACCATTAAAAGCTGACCCTAAGCTGAAGCACTTTACCACAAGAAGAGGTAATCTAGGATTTCCATGGTATACGAGTATATCATTTAGTTTTTTTTATTGTTATTATTATTTATATTACAAAATTCAAGTGAGGACTAACATCAACAAGGTTTACAGCAAAATCAAACAAATTCAACTCTAGGTAGCATCCATCAGTCTGCTTTAGGTTACTATTTCACAATTTGAGATGAAAAGATCTCAGCTGCTTTATCAATTTTTGGTTCTTATGGTTTCCTGAATTGCATGATACTATTTGCTTTCTCAACAGAATAGTTCTTCTGATAATAAGATTGTCCAAACTCTTATCAAAATCTACTAGAAGCAACCCTCTCTTAATGAATATTCTAACCTTCATCATGTAAACAGTTACTCACCAAATTGTTTTTTCTCACAAAAAATAGCTGTTTGATGACAGAACCTATTTCATTTTTTAATTTTCCATGATTCATTGTGATCGGTGACCTACTGTAGATTCAACATTTAGGTATCATAAAAATCACATGAGCTGAAGTTGCAAAAGATATTTGATTTCTAAGCATCTTGCAAGAAGTATAGATTAGTAACAGAAGATAAAGTTCATGAAGCACAGAGATAAGATGTAGCAAAATGCTTCACAAATCACAATAAGATTCTCAATTTTGGGAGCACCAAATTCTCACAAACATGTTCCTGAAAACTTGAACATGAATTTTCAAAATGGATATAGTCCAGGTATCTGGATAAAATATTTTTACCTCGATAAAGAGGCCACAATCCTGGCTTCTGCCTGAAACATCCCAATTTTTTCGCTCAATAAGAAAATGCAAAAGAACATGAATTTTGAGTTTTGTAAAAATGAACCGAAAAAGATGGCCATAACTAAGTAAATTATAGATTCAAGAAATACCTCATCTCCTTTTGATAACGCCTAAATCCTGAGTCACTATGGACATGAATGACCATTTTATAGAAAAGGTTGTCACTTGATACAGATTCAGCTTTGTGGAAGTTATGATAACATTTGAATGCAGCTGGAAAACGTTTTTCTCTCATCAAACGAATCATTTCCTGGTTTAATAAAGAAATCAAATTATTATTTCACATGTAAATTATAATTGGAAATATTAATTGTAACAATTGAAAAGATCACATAATTTAAAAACCAAAATTCAATCAATGAAGGAAGCTAAATTGGCTAGTTGAAAGGAATGCTTGCTGCCACCATGAGAGGCAGTGCAATTGGGGCTCCAATTTCTGGTGGGTTGGTTCCTAAACAAAGATGGGAACAGCTTTTTGCTGCTCTTTCACATAGATAAGACATATAAGAGTAAGAAGGGAGGACAGACTTATTGGTCACTTTAGCTTAGGTTGCTCGGTTTGTGTCATTTCAAGTTTTGGGCTGTTGACTACTGCAAATCTCTAAATGTTGGAGGTTAAATGTTCAAGCTGTCCACTTTGAGGTTATTCAAGGTTCAATTTCAGGCATGTTGGATAAGCACAAGCTGTACAAGTGGAAAAAAAAGGAGAATGCACAGTAGCCTAACCTGCAACTTAGTGGTTGAATAATCTGCAGGATGAGCTTGCAAAAATTTTGAAAGAACAGATCTATCTGCATTTCTTGAGTGTGCATCATACCAGTCTGAATGATCAGGACAGAAAGAAGAACCAACATTTTCAAGGAGTGCCTTTATTTGCTGCAGTGGTAGTTTCAAGAAAAAGAAAAAGATTCACAATTAAAAAGAATTCTAGTTGATAATAATTTCTTAATCAAAAGTGTCAAAAAATAACCAGAAGTCAAAGTAAAGTATTTCACATTAAAGGAAATTCCATGTCACCTGTTTTTCATCTGACCTATTTGCAGCACAAATTTCCCTTAGACTTGGTCCCAAATCTATGCCAGCTGAAATAAGCAGGGAAATTCCATAATTCAAAAGGAGAATTAATTAGTTTTCACTCAAAAGAGCAAGGGAGATTCAGGCAACCATGCAAAGAATTAAAATGACAAAAATGCAGCGAATGACACCATAGTTAAGAATAATAGTGCTCAGCTTTAAGCTAAAGAGTCAACAAATGAAGGAATAGCCCATCTAATGACTCAGGAAGATTGCTTGCCTAGGCATAGGTAAAGGTTCTTGTAAACATAAGGTTTAACCCAATTGGTTCATGCAGCCACCCTTAATAGGCGGCATCCAGCAAGTATGGGGTTCAGATCCTAGCACCTGGAACCCCTTCCCCTATCCCCAGGCTGCAACCTCCTTTGTACCAAAAAAAAAGGTAAGGATGGTAGCACTTTTTGACATAGATATTATACTATCTGGTTGAATATATTAGTCATCATGGGCTTTTCATACAGTTCACTTTCACTCTGCTTCCAACTATAAATCATTGTGCCAGTTCTCTTCAGAATGTGTTAAGAGTGAATAAATTTATTTGGAAAAAAATAAATAATGGAATGAAAAAAAAAGGGGATGAAAGACATAGATGTCTTCACAAGAAAGTTGCTTAAGCAACCAAGATTATAAACAAAATGCATGAGAAGATACAGCATCATACCTCCATCAGCCGGAGGAGGAGGGTGATCGTTCAAGACCTCATCCATATGTTTTGAGCTCTCATGACTCACAATACGAGCTACAAGACCCTCCAAGATTTCTCCTTGCACCTTAATATGACATTTTGAACCTACATGTTGATAACATGGAGATTAAATGTTGCTCAGATACTTCATAATAAATTCATTTAAAGTTACAACAGAAAAGGAATAGCGCATGAACTGAATCCAATACCACTGACCCTAACTTTTGAGTATGCAAAAAAGAAAAGTTTGCAAAAAATTGCTTCCAAGCAGGTGCTTCACAATGTTGTAGGTCACAAAAGCAAATGCACAATTTAAGCTGGAATCAGTGACTTCATGATGCAGCTTATATGTATCTATGAAGAAAATGTCGTTCCATGGGTGTGAAATCAGTGAGACTAGCATGAATTAGAGGTGATGCAATTATATGAGGCAGTACCCTCCTTTCCAAACTATTTCATAGATTCTAGGCAATAGGACCCCTTATTGCCCCAGATAAATGTACAAAAAAGTACTCATCTAAGTTAAGTAGGGCATAAATTTTGAAAAAAAATTTATCTGTGACAAAGAAATTCGATGTATCACGTATAGAAAGCTTAAACTATATGATCCTTTAATAATAAACATAAAAGAGTTCATCACAAGATTAATGTGTTTCAAAGATCAACTGTTATCATAATTAAGCAAAAGTCCTCATAAAATACTTGCTCATAGCTAACAAAAGAAATTAAAGGGAAACTTAAGTAAGGCATACTTTTCATATGCATTTAACCTTTTAATTACACATAGTATATTAAATACCATCTATTCTTTCATCCTACTTTCAAACTCCTTCTGAGTAGTAATGGCTAGACTTGGCCTACAGTTTGGTAAACTGGCAATACTTCCTATACAATTGGCAATTCCTTGAAAAAACAGAAACAGACCAGCTAACTGAAAGACATCTTAAGTGAAAATCTTTACCAGCTACAGATATATCAGCAACTTCATCAAGAGCCCTACATACAGAAGTTGCTGTTCCTTCTTCACATAGCACATCATAAGCAGCAAAAAATGATGTCACTGACTTCCTACATTTATAGAAGAATAATCAGATGCCATAACTAGCAGTTTCATAATCTATGTGCATCTAAGAGAGGAACTTACTAAATAATGGAGGCCACAATTAAGAAATTATATTTATAGAATAAGCAAAAATGCATTTGTAAAAAGAGAAATAGCAGAACTCTATATGAGAAAAAAAAAAGAGAAGATGATGCTGAAGAATGGAAAAAAGTGACTAAAGCCACAAGCTAATCACAAATAATTGCAGAATTTTGTGATCAGCCATGTTAAGAAACTCTAAGCTTTCAAGTCAACCAATTTTGTGAGAGGGAACAAGGAAAGAAAGGACATACACTAAGGCACAAATAAGAATTCATGCCAAGTCTGAGGAATAGAAATTTGGGTTAAAAATTACTTATCAACAAACTCAAGAAAAAGAAAAAATGTGAATTTCAAAATTAATATAAATGTAGAATTTCTGTTTATCTTGTTGATAACTTAATATAAACAAGTCTCCGGCAATCACAAGAGCACGGTAGAACTGAAATACTGGCATAAATATCTGATCCTCAACGTCATCACTACAAAGAACCTCTTAAGAACCATTAATTTTAGGACATGTAAATGTAAGACAATTAATCAAACCACTTGTTGAATCTTGGTAACTATACAAACACTATATCATCACCTCGTTGAGAACAACCATATGTGGTTTGTTGGTAGACGCCATTTACGACAAAAAGCAATCACTTCAGGAGTTGAGTAGAATTTTGGCTTTCCATTGCCCAATTCAGTGACAGCTGTTACTACCGCTGAAGGAAGCAATAAAGTGCGTAAGCATTAGCATAATGTAGGACAAACAATATTAAAAAATGGTAGCATATTAATATGGATAGTTACATCATAAACAATATAAAATAATTTTCACTCTTAAAAGGAAAAAAAAAAAACAGCATTGGCGCTAGCATTTCATTGACTAAGCTGAAAAAAGTACCCTATCTGCTGACAACACTAATAGAGACTCTACATATTAATAAGAAAAGTAGATTACTTTTTCTTACTATATGTTTAAAGTATTTTGTTGGTCATCAACAAAATTAGATTGACAGCTAGTCAAACACTTCAAAATAATAAGATAAAAACACTTAACCATAGTCTTCTCGTGGACGTTGTCCATGGTCTCCAAGAACTGCAGTTACCAACTCCATTGATATGCACATACGATTCCGCTGAAAGAAATATTAAAGATCATAAAACTGTCAATTAAGAAGTCAAAATAAACTTCAATAACCATTGTAATTGATAAAAAGAATACACATCTAGAATAATATAGATCAACTAGACAGCCAAAAGAGGCTGGTCTCCTGCCTCTAAGGCCAAGGGATAAAAAGAATGGGTCCTTCTTGAATATTAACAATTGAATCATTTTAAGGGAGGAAAAATGCTACAAAGAGCGGAAAACAAGATAACAAGAAATGGAGTCAAGCATCAATTGTACTTAAATTGCATTTTACCATATATCCAAGCAACAACATATAATCTATTTTCCACTGTTCATTTTACTTTGTAATATGTCTTTATTTGAGAAACAAGCCCCAAATTGAAAGGCATATAATAAAACAGAAGTTAAGAGTCACATTTTGCCCGTACAACATCTAATTAAAGAAACAAAAACACAAGTTCAAATTACATTTTGCTTTTTCAATATCTGATTAATCAAAAATCACAAATCTTCTTTCATGAGCCTTTTAAATTAAATCATCACCAAGTCATCAACTTCCAGTTTGTTAGCAATATTTATATAAATACACATGAAAAGTTGAAATAGCATGCGAGTCAGAAAGAGATCAAGCAAACTCTAATTGGCTAGAATGCTATTGCTTAATATAATTTTCATTTTGTGGATTTCCTTTGCGCTTTATGTTCATCCACAATCATTATTAGTATTCTACCTCAATGAAATCATTGAATTGTGCTTGCTTCTCTCCAGCTTTAGTTCCCCATGCCTCATGAAACATGCGCCCAAGAACAAAAACACCGACAGCAGTGTAACTGCAGTAAAAGAGTTAAATCCGATAAGTTACAACTGAGGAAGAAGAGAAGAACCACAAAAAAGAAGGGAGAAAAATATACATACAGATTCCAGTCAAGACAAGTGCCTACACAAGCTCAGGTGCTTTGAGAGGCTAGACACTCCCCCCCCCCAAAAAAAAAAAAAAAAAAAAAGAGGAAAAAATGGGTAAGGTGCCTTTACCAAAGCACACACCTTTGGCACCTAACCATGCATTTTTGAAAGGAAAGAGACACCTAAAAGGCACACCTCATTGACACATCCTCATATCATATACAGTTTTTATATTTTAATAAGCTGTACTTCACAAAATGGTGTATGCCTATCTCTCCACAATCTCTAGTACAACTATTACTTTCTCTTTTTTTGCCAATGCATTGCACATCTAATACTCATTTTTACACTACGTCACAAGTACCACTGATAATGAAAACAAAACAAAGTATGCATATCTCGAATGCATAACATATACCACACCCACTGGTTTATTAAACCTGATAGAACAAGTTCTTAAAATCAATAAATTAGAAATAACAGAAGAACCACCAACAAATTAAATTTAAAAATAAAAAAATATAGAGAAGAGGATCCAAGATTATTTAATCATACATATTTCCAAAGCTGTTTTTAGCATATGCCCCACCCTCATTACCCGCGTACATAAAAAGAGATCCAGAGTGTTTAAGCGAAACCTGCACAAATTTGTAAGAATAAAAAATTATATGCGTTCCTGTATACAAATACTAAAAAATAACGTTTCATTTGGTTGATACTCTCTACTTGCTTTTTGCTTTTGCAAATTTTGAACTAAATTTTTGTGAATATAAAATATTTATGAATTTAATTTCATATGGAACAATAACATTTGTATATGTAATTATATATTACCATATTTATAAGCATTGGCTCACTTTTAAACAAATAGTATGATTTTGTATTTTGTTTCCTACTTCTTGCATTTCCATTTTAGTAACTTTCCAGGGAAGCAAAATTGCAAATCGCAAAATCAACACCAAGAGAACCAAAAACAAAAAATCTTAAAGTTATTCTCTCTATTGCCTTTCCAAAATAATGTACAAAACCATTAAAGCCAAAAGAAGCATGAGCTTCTTAATAAAGAACTTTACAACTATTCTCTTTTTCCAAACAAAGGTCAAGAGTTGCGTGATCCATACCTCCAAAGTAGCCAAACCTTTAGACACCATCTCGATCATCCGTATCCTAATCTAAACACATTAGAAAACAAGAACCAAAACTAATTAACAGGAAAAAAAAATCAAATTGCTTCATTATCCAAAAAAGGAGAAGTTTCAACAAACAATTTACCTCTTGATCAGACTTTTCGTTTTCGAATTTCGGATAAAAAGTAGCTCTGATTTGTGCAAGTGAATAAGTCGAATTATCAACATTGAAATTTTCTAACAAATTAGGCTTCAAAAAAAATTTACTCAAATCAACACTGCTCTTCTCGGTTTGAACATCAACAGCGGTGGCGTTGGGTCCAGTCACGGTTCCATACGACTTCGGCTTCCAAATTTGGCCGTCAGAGATATTCAAACCGCCGAGTTTGTTCGTAACGGCTTCAGTGACTGAAGCGGAAGCGGACATAACCGCTTTCGGCTTTGGCTTTTGTTTCCACGTTTGTTCTCTATTTCCACCCTTTCGCTGCATCAAAAATTCAAAAGATAAATTACTTTTGAGTAAAACAGAGGAAACAAAAAGTTTTCAATATTAAAATTAAAAAAAAAGTTCAGTTACCTGATTTTGGGACATGATTGCGGTAGGAAAGGAGAGAGGGCGAGAGCAAGGAAAATAATAAAAGGGTGAAGGGCGGAGAAAAGGAAAAGGAGTGGATTTATAAGGAAGAGAATGGGAGAGTGTGCAGAGAAGTCTCTGCGATGCCGACATTTAATATTTGGAGAAAGGGTCCAATACGAGATGATTTTTTGTTAAATATCCAGCTATTCAATTTACACGAAACTATCTAGAAACGGCTCTGAGGACTACTTGGGAGAGAGAGAGAGAGGAGTGGGCTGTTGAACCGGGGAGGTGAAGTAGGGCTGATTTGGTGTGTCGCTGGGACAGGGTTATTTGTAGGGATCCGTGGTTAACGGTTTGCCACGCTTTTATCATAGATGATGGCATAACTTTACATTAACGGTCGAACTTTCTTTTTTTTTTAAAATTTTTTTAAAGATATTAGCCTAAATTGGCACGAATTGGAGAGCAAAAACTTCTTTCCTATGAATACGTTTGATTTAGAACTTTTAACCTCTAAATTCTTTTTTTTTTTTACTTTTTTCTTATACTTAGAAAATTTTTTTTTTTAAGTTAGATTTCTTTTATAAAATTAATTATATTCTAGAAAATAAAAAAAATTCAAGAAATAGAACTTTCTCTTTTAAATCTCTATAATGCTTTCTTTAAATATCCTACTTCTTTAGTTAGATCTATAAAAATCTTTTTCAAACAAAAATCTCAAGCTCTAAAAAAATATATTCAAACTTGCAAGTTTGATAAATGTATTCTTCCAACAAGATCTCAAAAGTACTTTATTACTTTTTAGGTTCTTTTAGAATTTTCATAACAGTTGATAGAACAAAGATGCAACTACATCCATTTTGATATTATTAGAATAACATTAAACTTTTATAGGTGAAATGGTATTCTTATTTGTACCAGGATAACTTTATTAGATATAAGATTAAAAAATTACAAGTATGTAATATTTGACATAGTTAAGATGACTCTTAATACAGAAACTATTTCTTCATAATATTTTCCAACTATAACATGTCTCTACATGATCTAACTCTCCTAAATGCTTTAAAAGTTTAAGTTCAGATTGTTGAAACCTAGATGAAAGGATTTGAAGCAAATTTTCACCACTAGATGGTTTACAAAATCTAAGATTAGGCCATAAACTAACACTAATGATGCAGTGTTTGTAAAACTAGAAGTTGCTGACAAGAATCCCAAAGATATTCACATTTCAAAACAGATATCAAATGAATAACTTGTTGCCTCATGGATAACAAGTTATCAAAAGCTTTGGAACTAGAATGAACACATCCAACACTTTGATCATTCTTTCACCATAAATCTAGATGGCACAGTCATAATCAAATTTAACCACAACAAGCAAAAAGAAACCCTTATTTCAACTTTTGTCTTCCTTACACAGTTCATGATATAACTATGTTAACTAGAGCCAAATGTAGCTGTTATGCACTTTAAGCCTAATGGATTACTTGTATATGTATATAGATCTCCAAATGGACTTATTATTTAAACATTGATTGCAATTATAAACAATGCTAGAAAGAAAGATGTAGAAGTTTCTTTGATGATGATGAAAAGAAACTAAGACATAAATCTTCCTAGCAAAGGTTGAAAAAAAGATTTGAAAATGGAAACCTTGAAGTAGATCTCCTTAGTAAACCCTCAAGAAAATTTGATTATTATATTATTTATTTCAAACATAAGAAGTCAGATATCCCTCAACCAAATTGTTTAAACGAAAACCTAAAAATCCAAAAACCTAAAAAGTTAAAACCTCGATCGAGAAAACCCTTATCTTGGTATGTTGCTAGTCTTACTTACATTGCTAAAGAAGAAGCAAAAAAGGCTAAGTTGAAACAACAAGTCAACAATATTGTTCCAGATATTTCTCAACCATAAATTGTCAACCTCTTACTTAAATTTGCATGATGCAGCCAACTTTTTATTCTTATGATGCAAAATTTCCTCTTCTTTAAAAATTCACAAAAGATAAATACAGACACAACTAAAAAATCTTAAACTTCATGATAAAAATGAATATGAAAACCAGAAAGAATTTTTTAAGTAGAAGCAGTATTGAATTGGCAAACAAAAAATTTTATTATCCAAAATATAGCCTTTTACAAGATAAAGAATAAGTTAGATTAAGTGAATCAACATTTTAACTAGAATATTGTCAATCTCTACAATATTATTCCTAACATTCAGGTAAGAATGATAACTATAAATCAAGAGCTCAGACAATTGGTTGAAAGCAATAATGATAACATTTATGCTTTTGTTGAAAGCGAAAGAGAAATGAAAAGTCCTAAGATTCAACAGAATCAACTTCATTAGAAACTCCAACAACAACAAACCTCAAGTATTTCTACTTCTGTTAACACAGAATGTAGGATACTCCTTACTAAGCATACACCCCACATTCACCTTCAAAACCTTTCTTCACTTTATTCCAATACCAGCCAAAATCAAGCACACCAATATTCACACCTCCATTCACAAGCATAGCCTCATACCTTCAGATAAAACCATTCTTCACACCCTTCTCAGAATGACTATTTTATACTCCTTCATCAAAACAACCTCTCTTTGGCATTACAAAAAAAAAATGGATAAACAAATTTAGAGAAAAAAAGCCAATGGAACAGAAAGGATAGCTGGACAACTACTTCCTCAACCCTTAAAGCTAAAAACAACCATAACCATAATTGTAACCCTTTTAACCCCACTTTTAACCAAACTCTTAAAAGCTCCTCTTATGTTTCACCTAAACCTCCTTCCCAACTAATGATTTTTTCCACACCAAGCATCTTTCCTAATATGCTCAAGTAAATGGCACAAGAAATTCTTCTTCAGTTTTCAATTAAAAATATCTTTTTTACTAAAGATGTATCATATTCTTCTATGGTGGATTTTGATGAAGTATTTTCAAATGACACACTTGAGATAGATACTATTGAACCTCTTCATCATATCTTCATGATAGAACCAACAATTGAAGTTTTTGATGACAATCCAGAAGTTCACAACCTAAAACCAATGGATAGTGATCAACGAACTCCTCTTTATCCTCTTCATGCTCATAATTCCTCATCTTCATATAAATTTTCAATATTCATAATTAATGATATTTTTTCATCAAAATGGCACTCAAGATTTCAAGAATTCATAGTATGGGGAGTAGTTAAATTGAATTTCAATCCCAACATTATAATGCATATGGTATTAATCAAATTTATTTCAAGACTATTTGAAACCCTCACAAACTTTTAGGTTAATGTTGATGGATACAAACGGTTATAGTTTATCCAATGCCTTACAATCACACAACCTGTATCTCAGTTTTCAGTAATATTTTATGGCCAAGAAGCTCATTAAATAGATAATTAGAGAGCAATTTTTTAAGTTAAAATACTATTCGTTTCATCCAAAAGATCTTAACAGATGCTACTTACAATTTTTTCAGTATTTTTATCTTTTAGTGGATTCAATAATGTTAATTTGAAATAAGTTTTTCTTAACCCAATTTCAGAAAAACTTGCCTAACAGACAATGACTTAACTCAATCTTAGATCCCTTGATTTGAAATGCATCAACCTTAGTGACATTCACAAGGTTATAATGAGAGCCTTTGACAAGTTTTGTAAAAAGCACAAGTACATTATAAACTTGGTGAACAACTCCAGAAGAATGGATATATCATGTTCTTATTTTTCAATTGGTTTACAAATCAAATATTCTTTTAAAGACTACTTATGCCATTGTCATCAGAAGAAAAAAAAAACATTTTAAAAAGTTTAATGTCTTTAGACACCCTAGAAACTCCAATCTTTTCGACATAAGAAATTCTTCAAAAAGTCCAAAAGATTTTAAAGGTTTAAGTTTGGCAGAAAGAAAAGAGACCCAAAGAAAAAAGATAATAAATATTTTTTGTGAAAAATCAAGATATTTTGCTAAAAACTACCCAAAATCTAACAAGAAGTTCGTTAAGATAATATAGGTTATTACAAATATCTCAGGTATTAATCTTTTGAATAATGATCTCAAATCAGTATTCTCTATTGATGATGAATAGACTTCTCAGTCACTATTTATAATAAAGCAATATGATAATGATAGCTTAGACACATATTCATATGACTATTTAGATGATGATGATCAATGTTTTATTATATGTCAATCCAAGAACTCCAAAAAATCTAAACCATTCAGCCTCCAAAGACACCTTTAGTCTCAGTTTAGATTTTACCTATAAACACTCTCTTCCTAAAAGAGTTGCTATTTTCTTTGACATTGGTACAGTTCAAACCATAGTTAACTCCATTGTCCTACCAAATCCTTTTGGAAAAGACAAAAAATCTTTTTCAAAACTGCTGATGAAATGTTTTTTTTTATAGATTTTATCAGTAAACCTATTACCATTAAGATTTTTCTAAGTTATTAAATAACCTAAAGAATTTTAGGGTCACTACTTCCACAAAAAGACCTTGTTATTGATTTTGATGTTATTACCAAAATACAAGGTTTAAAGCTCAATAGAAAATGTATCAAGTTTGAAAGTTATTTTTAGCTTTGAAAACACATTCCCAATCTCTTCACCATGACAATCCAAATAAATTTGTTTCGAAAAATCAAGCAAAATTAGTCCAAATCTCATGTGCAAACTTTCACTTAAAATTTCTTTAAAAGTGCAAGAATCTATTGCGACAAAACCCTGAATTCTTCATCACTTTTTTTTTCAAGAAAAATAAAGATGTCAATCCTACAAAAGCTAGTTTTTTAGGCATGAATCCATATCATCTCTAGTTAGCCATTGAAAAATGGTCACAACTCCAAGCTTAAGATTTGATTAAACCAACTTCTTCACCATAAGCATATGAAACATTCTATGTGAACAAAATATTGAAACAAAATCGAGAAAAATTAAGACTGGTTATCAATTTCAAGCCTATTAATTTTTTTTTTTTTGCAGATGATAAGATTTCTCTTCCCAACAAAAATTTATTGTTCGTAAATTTGGGATAGGTAAAAGTATTTATTGTTCGTAAATTTGGCACTGGCAAAAGTATTCTCGAAGTTTGATTTCAAGACAGGATTTTGGTAGCCAGATATATATCCACAAGACAAATACAAAATAATGCTTTGCATTCTTTAGCATCATTTTTAATGGATAGTTTTACCTTTTAGTCTGAAAGTAGCTTTGTCATTGTTTCAAAAGGCAATATAAAAATATTTATTCCAATCCTCGAAAATGT